AGTGTGTTGGAGCTGTGGGGAGCAGAGTATCAGGAGAGCAATGCCCTGCTGCTCCGCCCATCAGACAGGTCTTTCCTGGAGAGGGTGTGTCAGAGGGAGAAGTGTCCTGTTGACTTTGTGGGAAACATCACCGGAGACGGCAAGGCACGTTTCAGCCTAGATCAAGTCGATTAATGCACATCCAGTGTACCGATCAATCTGCTTTTTGTGATCAGTGGTCACTAGCTAGGTCATATGGCTGGAAAGCCTCGAGTATCTCTCTGAATCAGTTCCTAGATCATCCTCATTTTGTTTTTTTTTTCTATCTGATTTCTCCGCACAGATTGTGCTGGTGGACGACGAGGGGGGTAGCGGTGATCAGGCAGACAGAGGGCGCTGTCCTGTCGACCTTCAGCTGGATTGGGTTCTGGGAAAGATGCCTCAGAAGGAGTTTAAGATGGAGCGTTTGACCCCGACCCATCAGCTGCTCACTCTTCCTGCTGGGCTGACAGTCAAAGATGCTCTGGACAGAGTTTTACGTCTGCCTGCTGTGGCATCCAAACGCTACTTGACCAATAAGGTCTGTGTTACATCCCTGTCTTTCACTGTCTGTGTCTTTTAGAAGTGAATTTGTGCAGACAGCATGTGGCTTTTCATTTCTTCACTCTCTCTCCCCCTCTCAGGTGGACCGGTCTGTAACTGGGTTGGTTGCCCAGCAACAGTGTGTCGGCCCTCTTCACACCCCACTGGCCGACGTGGCTGTCGTTGCTCTGTCACCGTTCAGCCTAGAGGGAGCGGCGACGGCGATCGGTGAGCAGCCAATCAAAGGGCTGGTCTGTCCTGCAGCGGGGGCTCGTATGGCTGTGGGAGAAGCTCTGACCAATCTGGTGTTTGCCAGAGTCACAGCGCTGAAGGTGAGCGGATAACTGAGAGTGTGAAGAAATCTGTTTCAGTCAACTGGGGAAATTTATCAAGTGACACCTGCAAAATACCTTACACAAATTTCTGTCCCCACCTATTAAAATAGGATAATTATTGTAGTATCCAATGATTTGTTTTTTACCCCAACATGAATGTCCTGGATGTGTGTTTTCAGGATGTGAAGTGTAGTGGGAACTGGATGTGGGCGGCCAAGCTGCCCGGTGAAGGAGCTTGTTTGTGGGAGGCCTGCAAAGCCATGTGTGAGGTCATGGGTCAACTGGGGGTGGCCATTGATGGGGGCAAGGACTCTCTGAGTATGGCCGCTAGAGTGGGAAAAGAGACGGTCAAAGCCCCAGGTACTCTCACTGTGTGTGTGGGTGTGTTTGTGTAGGGGTGTGTTTGTGTGTGTTTTGATTAAACTTGGCTTTCCTTCTGCTTCTGTTTCAGGTGCCCTGGTTATCTCGGCATATGCTGTTTGTCCTGACATCACGGCCACTGTGACGCCTGATCTCGAGGATCCAGATGGCGAAGGTGTGATACACTCAGACAGATCCAATAGCTCATAATCAATAAAGCCATGTGTGGTTGCCATAATTTTATCTTATGTCAAAATAAGTAAAATAAGTTTTTAATTATTCTGATCGTCTTTTTAAAAAAAATTTTAACCAACTCTCACTCACTCAGACTACAGACATCTTTCTCTCTCTAACACACACACACACACACACACACACACACACACACACACACACACACATACATACACATATTCAATAACAGACAGCCTGCCTCTGACCTTTTGTCCTCTCTCTGCAGGCGTGTTGTTGTGGGTTCCTCTCAGTCCAGGCCATCATCGGCTGGGAGGCTCTGCCCTGGCTCAGTGCTACAGCCAGCTGGGAGATTGCTCTCCTGACCTCGACCAGCCAGCACTATTGACTGCCTGCTTCAACACCACTCAGACACTCATACACGGTCAGCTTGCACCTGCAGGCACAGTACTACCTGCCACAGACGGAGTGTTAGCTTTGTGTACTGTGATTCAGTCCGTTAGAGAACAGTTTTGTTCTGTATTGACACAGCCACCTAGTGGTTTTACTGGGTATTTTTTTGCCTTTTTGAAGTTGTTATACTGTTATTCAGTGAGTCAGTTTGATTTTGAATTTAAGTAAATTATCTATTCAACGTTAAGTAGATTGTTATTAGAAAATGTGGAAGAAAAAACGCAGGAGAAAACATTAGGATGCGTTTTCTCTTTCAGATCGTCTGCTGAGTGCCGGTCATGACATCAGTGATGGAGGCCTCATCTCCTGCTTGCTGGAGATGGCGTTCGCAGGAAATCGTGGAATCGATGTTGAATTGTCATCACAAGGAACTGGAGGTCAGTGAGTTGACGTGCGGTTTTGTTTCCCTGTAAACTGCACATAATAGCATTCAGACTGTAAGCATGACAACATAAACTCATGCAGTGTTTTTGCTGCCTCTTTGGCTGCACAGTGATGGAGCTGTTGTTCAGCGAGGAGTTGGGTTTGGTTCTGGAGGCTTCACAGGCTCATGTAGAAACAGTGCGTCAGAGATTCAGCGACGCAGGCGTGCAGTGTCACCGTATCGGCAGAACCTGCGGCTTCGGACCAGAGGCTATGGTGAGACATCAACCTGAACATGCATCTGAAACCTTTTCACTTCATCGGTGATGATCATTGTTTTCTATTTCTCTCACTCGACCTCCAGGTCAGTGTTCATGTGGACGGACGGGAGCTGCTGAGAGAGCCGCTGCCTAACCTCAGAGCATTGTGGGAGGGCACCAGTTTCCAGCTGGAGCGCCTTCAGGCCAATGAGCTCTGTGTTAAACAGGAAGAGGAGGGGCTAGCTAAGAGGACACAGCCCTACTTTAAACTCACCTTTGACCCATCTGAATTGTCCAGCAAGCTCAGTAAGCCTAAACAGAATGGGTAACATGTACAATAATTGAGTGTACATCCAAGGCTGCAACTAATTACTGTTTTCATTTTGCGATGAATCTTTTTGATATTGACTCTCTCAATATCAAAATAAGTCCAAATGAAGACTAAATTTGGTCTGACCGAAAGATATTCCTAATAAAATAAAAGGTATTAACATTTGCAAAATGAAAAGCTTAACATTTGAGTATTTAGATTGTGATTTGACACATTTTCTGTTGATCATAAATCCTTCTGATGTGTGTTTCTTTTTTCTTTCAGCTGCAGGGCAGCCTCGTGTAGCAGTGGTCAGAGAAGAGGGCAGTAACGGAGACAGAGAGATGTCTGTATCTCTGTATATGGCCGGCTTTGAGGTAGGTATAAGGTACGATCAACTTTTATCAACTAGGTTTGTGTTTACCTCAGCTGTACAGCTGATGTACATGACCCCTGTCTGTATTTGTGTGTAGGTGTGGGATGTCACGATGCAGGACCTGTGCTCTGGCTCTCTGACCCTGGAGCGTTTCAAAGCAGTAGTGTTTGTTGGTGGATTCAGCTACGCAGACGTCCTGGGATCCGCTAAAGGTAAATAAACACACAAAAACTCCCAGACCACTGTGAGATGCAGATTTGTTTTGTGTGACTACATTCTCCTTTCATGAAAGGTTGGGCTGCTACCGTTGCGTATAACCCCAAGGCCAAGGCTGAATTTGATCGCTTTCGGCGACGGGATGACACACTGAGTCTGGGTGTGTGTAATGGCTGCCAGCTACTCGCCCTGCTGGGCTGGGTGGGAGAAGGCCAGAATGGAGCAGGTAAGAGGAAAAGGCAGGAAAAGCAATGAAAATATTGTTTACAGTTACAATAATTACTGGTAAAATAATGAATTGAGACAATGTTAAAGCAATATGTAAAGAACATAGAACATAGTCATCACAGAGGAGACTTTTTGCAGTGGTTACTGAGCTTAAAGTGCTTTCTTATTCTTTTCCAATTTCACCCAGATTCTGAGGTGGTCTTGACCCATAACAAGTCTGGCAGGTTTGAGTCTCGGTTCGTCAGCGTTGGGATCCAGGCGTCCCCTTCCATCTGGCTCAGAGGCATGGAGGGATCAGCTCTGGGAGTCTGGGTTGCACATGGAGAAGGTACAGTCAAGAACAAGTCAAATGTCTCAGAGAGTTGATCATGTGCAATAGTAGTTCTTAACTAGTCATAAGTGTTAGAAAAACTGGTTCTTGTAGACCTGTGGCAACAGTTTAACCTGAAACCACCAAGCTGTGACAAATACCTGTCAAATGCAGTGTTGGATCATAATTAAGCACCAAAAGGTGACTCGGTGTGTAAGTTTGGAACTTGCGCAACAACCACTCTGCTGATTCCCATGTCAGAGGTCGGTATGTTCTCTAATCAGCAGCTGTGTTTAATATTGATTTTCTCCCAACCTCTTTCTTTCCCACAGGTCTGATGCAATTCCGTAGCTCCGAGGCTCAGGACCAGATTATCTCTGGTGGGCTCGCCCCCCTGCATTACCTTGACGACCAGGGTTGTCCCACTGAAGAGTACCCTCTGAACCCTAACGGCTCCCCGCAGGGTATTGCAGGGCTCTGCTCCAGGGACGGCAGACATCTGGCCATGATGCCCCACCCGGAGCGCTGCACCCTGGGCTGGCAATGGCCCTGGGCCCCGAGGGACTTCAGACCATCTCTGACACCTTCACCCTGGTTACGCATGTTCAAGAACGCAGCTGCCTGGTGCAGCAACTTACAGTGATGATACTCTGTTTAAACCCCAGGTGCTGTCAAAATAGTATTGTCTTTGTTGGGATGTTGAACTAAAACTTTAAGACCTGTTCACTTACTCAGTGGTTTACTTCACTGTTTAACTTACTGTGGTACATGGTCTATTTGCATTATGCCTGCTGTAATACTTTATAACTGTGAGACTGTTGTGGATTCTTGTAGTTGTTTCATTTTGGCAATAACTTTATATGTTACATAACTAATATACCAATCAGGTCTGCTGACATTATCTGTGTTGCTCTGCTGAAACTTTAGAAACCAAACTTGCTAATAAATTAATCAACACAGAAGAAGTAGTGTTTGTGTGTTGTAGATTAAGAAAAGCCACATAAGACAATAAATATTCTTTATTTTACACATAAAAACAAATTCATACAATATAAAATATTTACATAGATGTCAAAAAAAGTGGCAAAATTGTTGCCCAGTTAGGTGTAAAAATGATAGGTCAGTTTTTGGGGATAAGATGCTTAAAAAAAAAAACATGGATTATTAAAATGTAAATTATGAATGTGCTTTTTTAATTGACAAGTCAGTGGACACTGAACATTTTGCCCATTTAATATGGATGAAAAAGCCACATGCTAAACTCTTCAGGCCTGAGGGACTTAAGGATGTGTAACCAAAGCTGAACCAACACATTGCATAACATTGTAAGATATCGCTCTCACTCTTGCACAGGCTCTGTAAACACTTGACAAACAGGCCCGGAGTCTGCGTCAACAGTCTGAGAGGCTGAGACTCTCTCAAACATCTTGACTACTACACCTTGTTTTGTTTTCAATTGTCATGCATCCACTAATTAGAGAAGGGAGGAAAAAAAAAAAAAAGTCCATGTCAAACAGCTTGTACTCACACGCTACAGCAGCATCTATCTACAGTGAATTCCCCATTACTCCTTGTGACGTTGTAGCATTTGCAGAGTGTCCTCCTCCCTCTGGCACCATTTGCTGGTTGATGTTGATAACACAGATAAGGAGCAGGATGACCACCACAAGGTCATCCAGGACCCCGAGCAGTCCGCAGAGGGAGGGGTCTGTCTCCAGGGGACTTGCTGATGATGAGGAGACTGGGTCCAGAGGAGGGGAGGAGATGGACACCACTGTCCCCACGCAGCACAGGGCTACTCTGAAGAAAAACAGCGACACGAGCCATCCCATGGTGCCAAGTCCACGGGCCAGTAATTGCAGGAGCAGGGGTGCGTCACATAGGTAGTCTGTTACCTGTCAGTGGCCAAGAGAAGTCAGAGCGCAGTAGTCAATGATTGTACAAGATAGTATTAAAAGAAGTAGGTCACTGGTTTCTTATTAAAACGTTCTGTATTTATTTGTTGGTAAAGATTGAGTTATATATTTTAAAAGTGAATGAAAAAAATAGTTATTCCACATCTATTTAAACTCAATATTCAGCTGCCAAACTTTGGACATTGGCGCCCTTTGACATCACCATTTAGCAAACAGCCCTACCACAATTTAAATGTACTTATGTGAAGGAGATCCATGTAGGAAATTAGTTTCAAAGGAAAGAAAATGTTCAACCAAGGTTGGGCAACAAGGTGTGTCAGCACTACGTGTGTTAACCAGATACTTTCATTGTCTGGAATTGGTGGTTGTATAGGACAGTACATCCTTGAGGTTGCATAAGAGGTATTCCTGTTACCAGAGCTATTATCACAGGAAACAGTGGAGGAATTCTCATCTTTCCTGTGATCTAATCTGATGTCACATTCAAGGCTGTAAAGAAAGTTGCACCTGTTGATACTTTAACAGAACCAGACAGGTGAGAAGAGGGAAAATCACTAGTTTCTAGGCCACTTTCAGCTGAGACTCAAAGAGGTGTTGGAAGGACGTGTGTGCTGTTTGATGTTACGTCTGAAAGTTAATTTGAGTACTCACCCGTCGTGGGGCCCCAGAATATCGTTTGTTGTAATCTGTGATTTCCCCGAGAACTTCCTTTGACTGCCGGTCTGATCGACTCTCGTTGAACAGATGGCACAGCACGCTGACCTGGAAAGTCACAAGCATTTTTACTCCACGTTCACACTCATCCTGAACCGACTGTGTTTACATATGATCATCGTGCATACTGTACCTTCTCTCTACAGAGAGGGCAGCTGATGGCATCCAACCATGAGCCATGTCTCCAGTAGGTGATCAGACAGGGAGCTGCAGCATCAAACACATGAATCAGCTCCTTTTAACCAACATTTAACAATTTACACGATAATGACGACTAATGCAAATGTTTTTATTGTGGCTACACTGCAATAAAATCCACTAGTATGACAAGAATGCAATGAAGATGCAATATTTCTGCTCAAGGGCGTGAAAGGCAGGGGTTAGACAGGTGAGTGGTTCAGGTGCAGAGGCAACTGTCTTAAGTATCACAATCACAAACAGAAGTACTCAAGTTTTTTGGAGTATTGCATTTGAATTGACTTCAGTGTTCTTTCACTTGTCTATAGTCACTAAATTTCCTTGATCTACTGTTAGATATACTTAAAAGCAATGTGCCATCTAGACGTGTGGCACTAGCACTGCTCACGCTAGTCAGAGCAGCCTTGATATATACTGTACCTCAACCTGTATTGTTTTTATAGTGTAGTCGGAGTGTGCTTTCATGTCCTCCTTTGTTTTCCTTTTTCTCAATTTAAATCTAATGCACAACAAGAGTTGCCTTGTGTATGAACCGTGCCGAAGCTGCCCCTGAGCTGCCTCACCTCGTGTTTGTGTGTAAGGTGCAATTGTGTGTCATGTTGAGAGGAGTACACCTCTGAGTCACATGTGTACGTGTCACTACAAAGTCTGTTGACTTTAAAGTATTCGAGGTTAATCAAGGACTGAGGTAATTCAACAGTCAAGGTTCGGATCACATTTTGGCCAGTTTGATAATCTAACACTTTATTAAATAGCATGGCAACAGTTAATTGTTGAAACTGACAGGCCTCAGCACATTGATACTACATCTGATCAGCCAATGACTGGCATGTACAAAGACATAAGCACATGATGCAACAGGTGAGCAAGATGGATGAAAAATGAATGAATCCCATCTCACACAGTGGATGATTGAGTGAGCAGGTGCATGAATGAAAGAATAAACCAGGTCTGCTCTGACACTCAAGAATCATGCCAGTGTGTGTTTGTGTGTGTTTGTGTGTGTTTGTGTGTGTGTGTCTATTATCTCGTACCACAGAACAAATGGCCACAGTTCGTCTGGACTGGGAAGTTGGCTGTCTGCAGGCAGACTGGACAGTGCCAGTCTCGATGGCCAGTGGATGGACACAACTCTGCAGATTCCTGAAGAGATGAGAAGAAAAGCAGACAAGAGGTGAAGTACAGGAAACAGGAAATAGGACAAAAGAAAAAAGAAAGAAGAAGAAGAAAGAAAAAAGTTGACAAATCTAAAAAAAAACAAAACAACATAAGGCCAGATATCATATTCTGGCTACTGTGTGCTATATAATCTCCAAAATTCTTTAAAAAAGTCCTTGATGATCCCTCATAACATACAGTATAACAGATACACAGTACGTGTTCAGTGACTTTCAATTAGGCTCAGGTCTATGTAAGCAGCAAGATGATTATCATTTGTTTGGCAGCAGCTCTCTAAACCAGACTGTGACCCTAATAAAAGCAGCGATAATTATTACAAAGGAGTGCCTTACAGGAATAATGTTGTTTACTGCCTGTGTACTGGTCCTGATGTCACTGTTTGTTTAAAATCGAAACCAAGAGAAATATTGGGGTTTGATTTTTCTTTTAATCAATGTAAGCCTTTTGAAAGAAGTTAAAATATGTGGATCAAGTATAGTAGGTTGGTTTTTACTCTGACAAACAATAGTGTAACCCTATTGACATCAAATAATAATAACAACTGTGGACTACAGAATCTGCAAACTTTCATATCCTTGCTTACTGTGTGAGTAAGTGAAGCTCTCACCTTGTGGCAGCTCATATACGTTGATGCTGACTGCTCTGGTGCACAAACCAAAGATCTGGATGACCCGAGGTGACCCTGACCCACTGGACCCTCAGAGGGCAGATGGTCCGGTCTGCAACGTGACATGACATGCACCTTAAATACTGCATATCTGCTAGTGAGGAGATACTGACACAAAACCAATGATTTGTGAGATAAGGTTGATTGTATTCAGCTGTTTTTTGCATGTGGATTATATACGCTGAGGCTCCGACAGCAGCAGTTTGACAGATTAGCTGCTACTTGACATGTTGCACCCAGCAGGACTGCTGTTTGCCTAAATGATTTTAAAGCTCAACTTCCAATATAAATCTAAATGGAAAGTTACAACTATTAATGTAAGAAATTATATAAACAGTCTAATTAAACCTTTAGTAACTTTCATTAGGCATCTTTAATAACAAACATCATATTACATGTACAGTAACCAGCTACTAAATTTCTGAGGCAGTTGCTGAAACATAAACAGATCATTAATACCTGAGAAAAAAATATCACACATGCATGTTTTTATAATTTTGCTCTGATATAAACTGTGTTAAATGTCAAATTTTCTGTGGTTCTTAAACAATGTGATTAAAAACACTTGAACATTTGATATGACAGCTTCATATATGACATTACCTTAAACTTTTAGGCAACTATCTGGATCCTAAGATTCAGTATTTTTAAGAGATCAGGTGGCGCAGCTCTGGGCGTCATGATCAAAAACATACTCATTTCACTTTATTTCCAAGAGCCTTGTTCAAATTTCCTCCTTGTTCCAATAAAACAAACAAAACCGCAAAATGTAATAAAATAAGACTCACCTGGACTGAGATTTGTGATTCGGATGCATTGTTGATCTAGAAACAGCAGCTGACAGTTAGTCACTATCTCCTAGAGTCAAATGAAGTGTTACCAGACGGCATCACTGTCCAAAATAAATTGGAGCTGCCTGTCAATGATCAACTACTACACCCTCCAATATCAGCTGGTCTTCCTGTTTGGAAGGGACCAGTAAAGCAGGCAGATCGATATTGCAGAGCTTTGTACAAAGTGGGACAACTCCAAAACACACTTACAAACCTTCACAATTGACTGTGATGATTTTTTTTTTTTTTGTTGGTTTGTTACTTGCAAAAAGAAGATATTTCTCCCCTCAGTCTGGTCAGAGGCAAACTATTTGGGTCACATGATTTGCCACCAGATCAAAGACAGAAAAGGTCCCTCCCACATTGTGTTCAAGAAGGTTAGATCTGACTTTGTTGATCATTTACTTAAAGTTTACTCTGCTAACATCACTGCTTCACATAATTCATCTCTTACCACAAACTATTGGTTGTGAAATGCATGTGGCTGTCATTGACATTAACACTTTACTACACTGAGGGCTGGTGAGAAGCACCTCAGCTGTAGATAATAAACCCAGTGACAGAAAGGAGGCCTGTCATAGATCCAAGTTTAGGTGTGAAAACAAGGTAGATGTCTGTAATCAACAATTTCTAAAATATCATTCTCATACTGTACCATTTTTAAAAGAAATGTATGGAAATATGGAAATACGGAAGTGTTGACCAAATGATTCAAAATACAGTGGTAAGTAGTACGTGCTGTTGTGTTTGCCTTATTGTAGCAAATGTAAATGTCAGTTATTTAAATAAACAAAACAAAAAAAATCTCTCTCTCGACGGTGAGTAAAGATGTGATAATCTTCACATAGTTCAACATGACAGCCATTGCAGAAATATCCTGGCAAATATTTACACAGGCCCTTCACCTCACCTCTGATAGAAGCTAAAAAGAGGGAGTCATTGTGGTTCAGGTCATCTAAAAATAGCAGCCATCAGTCAGTGAGGGTCAGGGTCGCAGAGTGGCAGTGAGGAGAGGTGCTTACCTACTGACAGTTAAACATAGGACAGAGGCCACACCTGCAGGCCACATTTGTGAAATCCAGTTAGGCAATACACACACTGTCTGACATGTAAACTACACTTGATGATCACTTACTCCTTTTTCTTACTGGGTGATGTAGAAATTCAACCAAATTCAAATTAAATACATAACAAGGCCACACATGCACATGATCATCTGTATGATTTGTTTGGAATTTTCCATATTGTGGCTGAAGACAGCAGGTGACACATGTGAGATTTGTTATCTTATATGACTAAAGCTGTAAGTATTAGGAACCACTGTAGCCTGTGAGTGTCAGTTGCACACACACTCACGTGACATATGTAAATGGATAACGTGAGGAGGTTTATTGTATTCATAAGAAATGATTTACCTTCAAGGAAGGGTTGGCATGCTGTGGGGTTCTACTGGCTTTCTGGGAAGAGCACTGATTAGAGAAAAGACTTTCTATTTCTTGTTATTATAGCCTGTAAAATATGACTAAAATAGATAACCATTCTGATTGCATTCAATATCCAACTCCAGGCAAAACCTGCAAACTGACTGCGCAGGATTATCTCTCTGTTAACTGTAGGGTCAAGTTATGTAGTATTTTACACAGGTCACGTAGTCAAACATGAAACCAGCTGCAATTAAGATTTAATGTTGGTTGGGCGAGCGCTATCACTTGAACTTTTGGCAGACAAAACAAAGCCTTACAACCCATTGATTCATCTTGCAGTTAGTGGGGGGATGTAAACAAATTTATTGAAGTACTGTAATTCTACAACTTTTCTGTGCTTATACTTTACTTCAATATTTCCTTTTTACTCTGCACTTCTACAACATTACCTTTTACTCCAATGTATTTATTTGACAGCTATTGTTAGCCTACTTATTTTTACAGATTAAAACATGAACAAGTTTTTAAAATATGATGCACTGTTAGGGATTAAACTACCTAACAATATGTAGTTAAAATTAGCTTCACCTCCATTGCTACAATTTTAAAATATTGCTCGGCCATTACAATACAACCTTATTAATGATCGAATAATCTGGTATATGATAATATAATTAATAATTATATGTGATATAATAATTACTATAATTTATCTATTTATTTATTGGATAAATAGAAAATGTGAATAGGCCTACTTCTGTCACACTTTGATCCGCAGATTAATCTGTGTAACCTATATTTGTCTTTCTTTCATTGTACTCAATTATTCATGCCAATCAATAATGAGGGAAAACCACTTGAGGCACACGGATGACAAATGTTTTGATTTTGTCCACATAGTGTGGGCGTATAGAAATAGAAAATTGCCGAGTGCACTCACTGATTGGCTACAACGGGGTTAAATAGCCGTCAATCATCCTGGATGTCGATGCTGATTGGATCCGGCTCCTATCCAGTTCACCTTAACACGAGCAAGTAAACGTCAAATAAGTAAGAAGCCGCGCCATTCACGTACATGTTACGTTGTTTTTGTGGCGGAACCTTCCGTCGCGACTCTCCGCTGTACGCATTTGACGTTAGAGATCTACCTCTTTGGCAGCAGGTGAGGTCAAATGAAGAGGAAAGCAGCGGAAGAGCTTTGCTGACAGGTGGATTTAAACATTTCAGCTCAAACAGAAGAAATGGACGATAACAAAACAGTACTGGTCGAGAGCCTCATTGTGTGGGTGAGTGTCTTTGCCTCTGTGAATGTGTCGCCTGAGACGAGGAGACCGTGGAGTCGATTTCATTACCTGTTTGTAGGTGGTGGCAGTGGGGGTGGGGTGTCAGCGAAAACACCGTTCACCAGCTGAGAGAAAATTAGGCAAATATGAACCAGAGCAGGTGGTCTTCAGTCGGTCAAACAGCAACCGTTGTACGTCGTTATCACAAACATTAGCTTCAGTTGCGGCAGTTACTATTACTGTTAGTCCACCGGCACGAAACGTAGCTGGGCGAGGAGCATATACCGCAGGCTAGTGAATATAAAGTTACCACCTAGGAGCTACAAAGACTTCAATGTCGTTCAGTTTAGTTGATCCTCGCGGGATTTAAGGTGCTAATCCAATTAACCAGGAGATATTTGTGGAATGTCGCTCTTTGGGTTTTTTTTTTGTTTGTTAACGTTATGCAACTGATTAATGATGAAGCTAACACCAGCAGTAGTACAGTACCTTCATACTGTAGCTAGCTAGCGTTGCTGCACCTGCTCCTGTCTATGGGTGTGAATCAAATGTTTTGTTGGCTACCTTATGCGTTAGTAACCGGATAAAGGATTGATTAATTAGATCTCTCATCAGGTTCATCTGATTTAAATCCTGCGGCTGTATCCAAGCCACTCCAATTACTTATGTGTTTGTTGAACAACAGCATTACTAAGTAAGGGGTTAGATCAACTTATCCCACCAGGGTTTCATCCCAAAAGTGGACTGAATTTTAATGTTAGATGTTAGTGTTTTCAAATGATGGTTTTTTGGTGGGAGTGAACCTCAGTCAGGTAGCCCTACACAGGATGTGTCCAAGACGCTGAGATGTTCTCCCAGGAGAATTCACCTTACACCATTGCTGCTAGTTGAATTATTTACATTTGCCTGTTGTCTTTTGTGCTTTTGTTTCTTTACCACTACTATCTGCAGTCCAACCTGCCATCTCTCTATCCATCCATCTGTCAGTTTGCCTCAGACCTCAATTCTCTCCTCTCTGGTACTTATTCTTCATAGTGGTTTTTGAGATCAGTCCACCACCTCAGCACATCTGCAGTGTTGTGGAGAAACCCTTGAGTGTGTTTGGTTAATAACACACAACTGCATTATTCCCCATACTCTCCATGGATTGTTGATCTGCCCCTGTGATGATGCTGTGTTTTTGGTCTCTCAGCTGCAGACCTTTAACACTCCCGCGCCCTGCAGAACAGTGGAGGAGCTGACCACTGGAGCAGCAATATCGCAGGCACTGCATCAGATGTGAGAGGGCGAGCACACACACACACACACACACACACACACACACACACACACAAGAATACGACATATAGGTCTGCCCCATTAATCATGATATCTGGCCACTCTACAGATGCATTATTTACAGCCAGTTGTCTCTGGTTCAGATAACTCACATCCCATGCAGCGGTCTGGCACTTTAGTTAAGCCAGAACAGCAAAGGATAAGCTCTTTTTGTTCACCACTTAACTGCATTGATTCCACTTAAAACACATAAACAGAAAAGCTTATTGTGTAAACACAAGATTTTGAAATCAAATGACAATAACTATTTTAAGAATCATCAGTGTTGATTCATTTAGGGAGAAATCCATAGTAGAGGAAGATTTGCGAGTTTCTTTTCAAGCAGCAGTCTGTTGTGCTTTGAGTGAGTGGTGAGACTCGTCCTTACTTGTTTGTGCTATAACTATTGTTCTCCCCACTTACATGTAGAATGCATAGCTGAATGAAAGAACCCTCCTGTTTTCCAGGGATCATTTAAAGTAATTCTGGGAAATATAGGAAATGACTGCCTTAAGTAAAAAGGCTTGACAGAAGTAAACTGCAACACTTTCACTCAGAAATACCTCCTGAAATATACATACAACATGTTGTGTGTGTGCTGCAGAGACCCAGCATGGTTCACCGATGGATGGTTGGGTCGTATCAAAGCAGATGTTGAGGACAACTGGAGACTGAAGGTACAGAGCATTGCCATCTCACTGGTCCTCCATGTGTCCTCTCTGACTTTCCTCTTCATGTTTTGCTGAACCCCCCTGTGTGCTAAATCCTCTGTTTGCTTCAATCCTACTCAACTGTCCTTGACACTGACCTCCTACCTGCTCCAGGGGGGGGGCTTCTCCTGGCTTACCCTGCACTCTGACCCTGCGCTCTGACTCCTCTGGTGAAATGTGTACATGTATGTTTGTCCATATATGTCAGTAAGGGTGATTTAGAAAAAAAAAAAAGTCATGTCCCTTTCTTTCTTTCTGTTTGGCTGTGACTGTGTTTTCCCTGCTACTGCTTTTTCTTCCCCAATAGGCCTCTTTCACAGAAGACATTTTGACATTTGACAACAGGAAAAGCACATTTAGGTGCTTCAATTTCAGGGTCCTGGTATAAACCCTTTTCACTGCAGACATATTGACTTGTTTAAAGCCAAGAAAAAGAAAAGCACAGGTGGGATTTATAACATTAATGATGGCTGCCCTCTATTTAGCTGAGCTAGTTCAAGGGCCCTGGTATATTATTATTTAATGTTTTTATTTACACCTTTGCTTTTCCTGCTTTGACGAGTCAAAATGTCTGTTGTGAAAAGTGTCTATTTTGCATGCCGGTTCACTGTCACACTGTCATGGCTTACTGGGACGCTTTAATAGCCAAGTCATTGTTAATATTATTAGTAGGAAAGCTATTACATGTCAAAATGTCTGCTAGGCCTATTATTTTCTCATTTGAAAAGTTCTTAATTTTATCATTGCATGATTATTATATGCGTGTGAAGGTTATTGGTTCATATTTGCACTATAAACTGAGTTCATAATGATTCACAATCTTGTGTATGATCTTCTCAGATGAACAACCTGAAGAAGATCCTTCAGATGGTGGTTGACTATTATAATGAGGTAGGCTGTGGTCATGAAAACAACATCCTCCTCGTGCGTATGTTCATTTGGTGCCTATGGGAATCATAGTATGCACTGTTTACCTAGTGCAAAGTCCCAGGTGATTTGCATAAGGAAAATGCAGTGTGTAGTTGAGGTCAAAACAAGCAGCTCAAGCCTGGTACACGATACATCCACAATACCATGGAGTACTGAAGCCCAGCATTAGTTTTCTAATTAAAATCTTAATTTTGCTAAGTTAACACGTGACTGAAATATTTTGTTCAGCAGTTGTCTTAGTTGTAGCAAGACTCTGCTGCCACTTTTTTTTGTTGATTTGAAAACTTGTTCACTTAGAAAGTGTTAGTACACTCACATTTTAAGTGCTTTATCTCTTCCTCCGTCCCATCAGGTCTTATCCCAGGAGATATCAGACTTCCCCTTGCCAGATCTGGCCCTGGTAGCAGAGCATTCAGACCCTGTGGAGCTGGGGAGGCTGCTGCAGCTCATACTCGGCTGTGCTGTCAGATGTGAGCGTAAACAAGGTATGTGACTGCTTCTATGTTGTGTGCAATTTGTATGCACAAATGAGACACAGACAGATACTCAAATATCTGCAGTATAAATGAGCTGTACAGTGCAGATAGAAGGGGAAACTGTTCCATCAAAATCCAGTTAGGTTAAGGCCGTCAGCCAAACAATGTTTAATTATTGTCCTGCCAAGGCACTGACAAAGGCAGAGCCCATCAGGCAGCCTGACTCGGAAATCAATGACGGCAGTGTTATTGTACTGTATTTGGAACCAGCACACAGAAGTATTAAGTAATGTGTTTAATGAATCTTTCTCACTCCACTGACAGAGTACATTCAGATCATCATGACGTTGGAGGAGTCTGTGCAGCATGTTGTCATGACAGCCATCCAGGAGGTCAGTCCATCTTAACACCAACTTTCTCCTTCATATTTTAGAGATATTGAAAATGTCCAGAAAAGTTTGGCTGAACAGTTGTACCATTTTTCCAGTAACTGTAATTTTCCTCAAAGTGTCTGTCTCAAAGGGACTTTGGCAGCAGCAGGAGTTGTTAAGGGAGGCTTTAATGAGTCTGTATAATAAATCCAGTGACATTTTTTTTCTCTCCAGCTCATGAGTAAAGAGACCATGGCCCCATTTGGAGCAGAGCTGTCAGGGGACTTGGAACAGCAGGTCAGTGTTATTACTACAGAGATCTAAATCCCTCTAAATGATGTTCCTTCTGCTATGAAATTCTCTAACTAAGCGGCGATGCGGTCTCTATGACCAGCTTGTTGGCTATGAACAGAAAAATCTACACCATATATATTATGGGTCTATCTTTAACCACAGCAAAGGGAGCACAGTAAGAACCCCTCAAGTGTGTAGAGCTATCTGACTGATTATTTTCATTTGAAAAGAACACACAAGTTATTTTTTTTAATTCAGTATTTGGTCTACAAATTGTATAATGACAGATGCTCATCACAAGTCTTTCGCATTTTTTCTGACTGGCAGAAAAACAAAACTAAAGGTGTTTTAATTTACAGTGATATAAAAAGGAGAAAGCAAGTAAAACCACCCTCGCTTAGAACATGATTCATTCAGTAATTTTATGTTGGTTGATCGACTAGTCAATTTATTTACTCATCCTTTGGACTCTAATGTACTGTATTAAACTGCTTAAGTCACCAGTCTAACATTTGACAGACAGTTAGCATCACAGCTGAAGCTAATGTCACTAATTCAAAGGAGTGAGACATTTATTCTTGTGGATCTGTGTGAGGAAGAGCATGATCACTGTGCAGAGAATCCCAGAACTCAAATATTGACTCTCCTTGCACATTGCAGTGCTCTGGGCGTCAGGCAGAGGGACGGTGAGGGGTGTCCCGTGTAACAAGCTTAACATTGGGTGAAATCGGAAAATGGCCATCCCTTGATGATTTCACATTAGATTCGCTTTAGTGAAGAGGGAAAATATGCAGTGCATGAAGAGGAAGTGATTTAAAAAAAAAAAAAAAGGTTTAAAGCTTGTCAAGTCTTCTGACCTAAGTAATTCAGCAGAACCAGTGTATTTGTGTGTCTGGTATGCGTGAGTTAGTGATGTGTTACTTACTTCAGCTTCTCCTTCATGTGTGCAGTTAAAGAAAGCCCTCGAGGATCTTGCTGAACTTTTAGCTGAGAAGGAAGCATTAGCCCAACGCTGTCAAGAGCTGGACATACAGGTGAATAGAACACACACACACACACACACACACACACACACACACTCTGCATACACTTGTGTACAGAAACATGTACATTAATATGATTCATTTACATCCGTCTAAACGCAATGCTTTCTTGCCGATATCCAGCTCTCCATGTCTACACACCCACACACATGCATGCTTCTGTGGTACAGTATAAACAGGAGTTGTGTAATTCGCTGTAATGCTTGGGTCCATTGTCTGGAGCTGCTGTGGCAGAAGGACTGTGAGCTTACAGTCTGGGCTCTGCTGGCTCCCACCGTGGCAACTGGTCCATGCTCTGGCACTGCTAGAAGGCCTCACTCAGCACTGTACAGGCAGACTAAATTTAGCATAGCCTCTGATCAACTGTTCAACTGGACTCTCGACAGATTGATTTGTTCTGTCCCCAGTCTTGCTCATCTCTCGCCGCAGCGAGGTAAGTCCAACATGGCTGACCGTTCGGCAGAACTAAACCCATCTAAACCAGCTGCTCAAAATGTTTACTCTAACTCAGCTAACAGACGGCTCAATCAAGATCCTGTTCCAGACGAGTCCTACAACGTGTGTTTTAATATTCAGCAATTCACCCAGGGGCATCTCTGTCATAGTAAGCGTTTTGCAGTCAAAGCAACATCACATTATTTAAAAATGCCTCTTTGTCTATATAGGATTACAGGACAGCCTACAGAGGAGGAGAACAGAAGTTAGAGGCAGGGCTGGGCAGAGTTTCAATATTATTGTTTATGAACGTTCATTAAATTATGAATTCTGATAATTCCAATCTTGTGTTTCATTTTATAAAATCCTGTTGTCTAATTATTTTAAACTAACTGATAATAGACAACAAAATTAGTTACTGCAGCTTTTTCATTTTACATGTGTAAAAGTTTTGTCTAAGGTAAATGACTGAAACATTGTTCAAAGCATGGAACAAAAAGTTTATCATGTTTTTTTGCATACATTTTCCATGTATATCAGAAAAATGCTATTCTTTTTATTATATTGATTTCAACCATGTAGCCCAGCCCTGATTTAAATGTGAAGCTTCTGATGTGAGACACTGATCCATCCTAGAGGTGTTTTGTAGACACACAGGACTTTTAAACAATTACAATGAATTAATCTCAGACTAATAGTCCAATGTATGGTGGTAAAATATACTTGAGATAAATGGGTGAGAAGTGAATTCAACTAACCGTTTATTAACATATTTGCTTAAAGTGCAAGTTGTCTGTGCTCTGCTTCCAGCATGGATTAACTCCACTGTTTGCTTTAACAGCTGGGAGAGGAAGTGATATAAGGGGTCTGTGTTTTGATGCTCAGATGTGACTTTGCTGCTTTGCATGAAATAATTGACCAAAGAGAGTGTCAACATCATAAAATATCCCTGGTGACTTGATGTGATATTTTTTTTTTTTTTTTGTATATTGAGAGTGGCTCTAACATCTTGTTGTACCTGGACAGGTGGCTGTTCTTCAAGAGGAACGGAACAGCTTATTGGCTGAGAATGATGTCCTAACTGATCGGGCCAATCAGCTCGACACCTTCGATGACCCTAGCACACCCTCAGGAAGGAAACACAGCCAGTTACAGCAACAGCTGGAGACACTGCAGGAGGAGAACTTCAGGTTTGTCACTTCCTGCTCAAATGTTCTGCAGCAACCTCAGTGTGACTGTGAGAGACTGAACGATTATGTGTGTTTGCATCTTTTAGGCTGGAGGCCGCCAAGGATGACTACAGGATCCACTGTGAAGAGTTGGAGAAGCAGCTGATTGAGGTGCAGCACCGTAATGACGAGCTCACCAGCCTGGCAGAAGAATCTCGAGCTCTCAGAGATGAACTGGACGTTCTCAGGTCTGTGTAGGAAAGTGGTAAAGGATCCTCTTTAATTCAGAGTGCAGTCTACAAAAATAAACCAAGTAAAATAAAAAGGCAGGGCTGAAGGAGCAGTAAACAGATAGACATCTCTTGTTGCCTCCTAATGAGAGATTAGCAGACAGCTAGGCAGTTAGATGGAGAGGGAAGGCCAGGACCATGACTTCACTGATTAGCAAACACTCAACCAGACAAGATGAACTAATCAGTGAAATTAGCTGATGGTGTGTTTTGCTGTCCTTGACAAAGAGAGTTATTCTTGCTGAAGCACAAACAAGAAGAAGCAGGAAAACGACCTCAATACACAGTGTAGTCTTCCAGTATGAAGTGAAATAACTCTAAACACGTTTGAAAAGTTAGAAATATATATTCATAGGGCCAACGTTCTTCATCTGTGCCAGTGGAAACTAATGATGTAGCACCAACTGCCAGATGTAGTACTCACCCTTAAAGTTTACTTTGGAGTGTGCACTTTCCCTGATTTATCAAACGATGCTAATTCCATTCACTTTGCCTACTTTTCGATTTTGTTCCAATCTTACATGTTGGATTGAAGTGGCCCAAAGCACATGAGCTTGTTCACTGATATTTGTGCATTTACTTTGTGTTCATATAGGAGCTGCTCAGATCGAGTGGTGATGCTGGAGGCCTCAGTGGAAACATACAAACGTAAACTGGAGAATCTGGGCGATCTGAAGAGGCAGATGAAGCTGCTGGAGGAGAATAACATGACCTACATGCAAAACACTGTCAGCTTGGAGGAAGAGCTACGCAAAGCCAACGCTGCTCGTGCACAGCTCGAGACATACAAGAGACAGGTAACTGATGTTCGCAAAGGGAAACTCCAACCTCCAAATAAAAGTCACGTCATAATTAAATGCCACTTGCTAGGAAAAATGTATTTACCATGTTATGTGTTCACGTTTGCTTTCAGGTCCAAGAGCTACACAGGAAGTTGTCCGAGGAGACGAGGCGAGCAGACAACCTCGCCTATGATATGAAGAAGCTGGAGGAGAAGCACGACACTGTGATGAAGGAGAAAGAGGTGTGGCGGCTTTTGAAATGTGTCGGGAGGAAATGCCACTCTGTAAAACTCTATACTTACACTTGTACTGTTGTTTTTAAAATCTCACCCCATCCACTAGAGGATCATCATTGAAAGAGATTCTCTAAAGGAGATCAATGAGGAGCTGAGATGCACTCAGGCTCAACAGCATCAGCTCTCCCAAGCAGGTATGTCTCTGGGTAGTCAGAGCTAACAACATTGACCCACCTGTCACTCTGATATTGTAAAATACACATCATTTTTCCATGTAGGGATGCTTCCTTCCAGCAGCCCGAGCCATGATAACCTGGCAGCTGAATTAATGCCCATTGAGTACAGGTAAGAGACGCTGCTTCTGACAACATAGGGTTTGTTTTCTTTCTGCTCCTGTGTGTGCATGTGTGCGTGTGTGTGTGTGTGTGTGTGAGAATACTGACAGTTTGTGTGATTGTTCAGAGAAAAGTTCATCAGGCTGCAGCATGAGAACAAGATGCTGAGAGTGCAGCAGGAGGAATGTGAGCGGGAGAAGATCGCGGCCCTGCAGGCTCAGCTGGAGGAAGCACATAAGACGCGCAGTGAGCTGGACACTGAGAACAGGTTAACAGAGTCTCTGTCTCTTTGTAAGACGACCACAGATGGATGTGATAGAGGTTGATTTCTCTGATAGAAGCTTTACTCCATTTTCAAATGTATCCTTCCTCCACATTGATATTTCCCTCCTCTGCATTGTGACAAATCTGCAGATTGAGCCGAGAGCGGGTGAGTGAGCTGCAGCAGCAGGTGGAGGATCTCCAGAAGGCTCTGCAGAGTCAAGCGGCCAAACCTGATGATGTGAGTGTGCCAACATTCATTGGCACAAATACAGTGAAAATGCCCCACAGAGTTAATCTTATTAGGCTCTCAGAGTTTGTGCTGGCATGGCTTTTCACAAGAAAATCACACTAGTTTATATTTACAGTCAAAATTTTGAAATGATTTAGAGATAAAAGTACCTTCATTCTATATTTTTTTTTTTTTTTAAAATGTATTTTGCAGTGAAAAATTGTTGTTGCTTTGAACAAATGTAACCTTTGTATTTGTAGATGCTTTAAAGTGTTTTTTATTTTTATTTTATTTATTTATTTTTTTTAATTCTCTTTCAGTCGAACCTGAAGCGGAAACTTGATGCACACATGTAAGTGTTGGTCTTGGGGTCAGTGCTTTGATAAGCTGGGAGACGTAAAATGAATTTCCATCTTCTCCAGCAGAGGGAGGTAAAGAAACAGCTTTTGTTTCCTCAGGGTCCAGCTGAACGAGGCTCAGGACGAAATCATGAAGAAGAAGGAGCTGCTGGAGGACCTTCAGCCTGACAACACTCAGACCTGTAAGTCTCACGTCACCAATCGCATCATTTCACCCCTGCAGTCTTTGGAGTGTATGTTGCAATATTTAAAACTTGTCTGTACCAAAACACAACAGCACAATATGACTTAAGCGAAATCTCATAATGACTTCCGTGCCTCCAAGCTTTGAGGGTGGATGAGTTGATGGCTGCTCTGAAGAAGAAGGATGATGACATGCGGGCCATGGAAGAGAGGTACAAAATGTACCTGGAGAAAGCTCGCAATGTGAGTGATTAGAGAATCATTTTTATTTTTATTGTATTTTATTCTAGTTGTATTAATCCAGAATCAGTATTTCACAGGCGTCCTTTCTGTCCTGCTTTTAGGTGATTCGAGCGCTGGACCCTAAATTGAATCCAGCCACGGCGGAGATCCAGGCTCTGAGGAACCAGCTTGCGGACCGGGACAAGCAGATTCTCACCCTGGAAGTAAATTTGCATTTTGACTTGTTTTCAGTCTTTTTAAAAATGTAAAATACAAGAAATACAAAAAATTAACATACAAGATCTTTTCTGATGTTTTCTGATGTTAACTGAATTCATGTTGCCTCCTAGCGCCAATGTGAGCAGGCCAGGCTGAGGGAGTATGAGGAGAAGCTGATTGTAACAGCGTGGTATAACAAGGTAGGATCCGATTTTCTTTGATTTATGTCCTGCCCGTCATGAGATCATTGATATTTACTGTACATTATATGAGGAGCAGAAAGTTGACCATCAAAATGATGCTGTGTTGTCTTCCTCAGAGTCTGAACTTTCAGAAGCTGGCCATTGAATCACGTCTCGGTGGACGCACCTCCTCCATGCTGTCCCCTGGCCAGTCCTTCTTGGCCCAGCAGCGGCAAGTCTCAAATGCCCCACGCCGGGCGCTTTCCATCAGCGTGCCTGCCACTACCTCCAAATAGACCTCGTCACGGAGCCAAATGTCTCACCTTTATTCGGTGAAGGGGGAAAAATGCCCTCCCTCCCACAAGTGAGCACTCAAGTGACCTTACACACATCTGCTCTCAGCACTCGGGGAGGGGTCACAGATAAGCTGGTTGGGACTGATGAGCACTTACTTATCAAACACAACCCTCTAAGTCACCCACCTGTGGTTATAGCATACTGTCCCACAACACACTGGCTACAAGCTGGCCTTGCGTAGAGCATTAACCCACAACCTGTGTTCACCTCACTAGCTAAAGTAGCGCACACTGTCCCTAGAATAGACTTAGAGCATACTCCATAGTTCTCTGTGTTATTGCTTTGCCGACCGCAGACTCAGCTGAACACTTGCTATAATCAGTTTAGCCTTCGCTCTTATATACTCAATGATTTTATTCAGAATTGGAGCCTGTAAAATATATGAATGTGATTTTTTTTTTTTTTTTTTTTTTTTTTTTTTTTTTTTTTTTTTTGTAAGGGTTACTTGAATGCTAATGCCAATTTAATGTAACTTCAGATGATTGTTGATGTAAGTACAACTGAACCATCATACTATGCAGTGAAGAGGGTACTAATGTTGTCATCCAGCAGACTGATAAAAAGACAAATATGCTTTAGATGTCTTTAAGAAAATGATTGCTATATTTGGTGCTGGCCACCAACTGCTTTTAAGCATGAAACATCAGTTACTTACAATTTTTTTTTTTTTACTAGAATGGAACAAGCCCATCATGTAAAGCTGTGAAAACCCTACAAGTCATATTAAGTGATGAATCTCAGAGGTGCTGCAACGGCAAATCTTACAAAATAAACCCAGGACTAATGTATTTCTCATGTATTTAAACTCCTAAAGTGCGATGTGACTTCCTCACTGGCAGCATGCTCTAAATGAAAACTGGCAGGCCTTTCGATTCACTGAATATGTCGAATCTTATTTAGTGGTTAGTGATGAAGATGATAATCTATGAAGTTGTACAGCTCTAATGTAAACATGATTTAACACCAGCTTTTGATCCAAATATTGGGACCAGGTTCAGCGTTCATACAGTACCTGCAAATTGTAATATGAGAATTTTGATTACTGTAGTCGATATTGTATTTAATCATGGACGTGTTTAGTTCAGAGTGAAGAGTGCTGTAGAGGAGCAGTTGTTCTCTTTGGTATTGTGGGATATTGGCTGTCTGATCTTAAGGAGTCTTAAGTTAAACTGCACTAGTTTCAGTTGATTGCTTTGTTACTCTGTATGTTTGCAATAACACTAAAGGGGCATTCTGTTTTCATGGTTTTGCCATTTGTGATCTACAGACGTGTCAAAGTGCTTTTGTTTTCCTTTGCAGTGGATGATCCTTGTAGATATGCTGATTTAAAAAAAACGGTGTTGTTTATATGAAAATAAGAAGTACAATCAAACGTAGCACAGCACAGAGACTTAATGTGTCGTGTCATATGTTTGTGTGTAAATGAAGAAAAATGAGGAAGGCATTATGAATTTAAGAAGTTAAAATTTTAAAGCCTTTGGTTTTCTTGTGAATAAATAAATAACTTACTTTTTTTTCTATAAGTCTGTCTTACATTCAGAAGCATCAGTCTCAGTTTGGATCCTAAGATAAAGAAACACACAGAGTCCTGCACTCTTTAAAATCTAAAGCCAAAATCTGCTGCATTTCATTTCAACACTGTCCCTTCACAAATCATTTGACTCTCAGGTGTTTTAAGCACAGGTGATTTTCTGTCATCAGCATCTTCACATGTGACAATAAAGAAGCGATTTACAAATTGACCACATCAGGACAGATCCGATCGTACACACACGTAGATGACCTGCAAGAGACTAAAAGGAAAAAATCTGTGCTTTCTTTAAGAGATTTATTTTTGTAGTGGGCAGCAGTCCAACTGAAAGTTTGTGGCAAATAATAGACATGACATCATATTTGTTGAATTTGTCATTAACAAAAGAGGCAGGGTTTGGCTGCTGCTTGGTGGTTACACAATGATGTTCAGTCTAAGGGTATTTCATCACACTGTCCCACATTATTTGATTGTGTGATGTGATGAAACAAAAAAGCAGGTAATAGTTCCCCTTCATAACCTATTTTATGAAACATTTCCTTGTTCCTGCATTATCAGCTCCAGTGTTTCACACACATGCTCTTTACTGTCTATCTACTGTAGCATATGGTCTGCAGGAGGGGAGAGGTGACGGGGTTCAGCGGGCCTTGGCGTAGATCTTAAAGGGGTACGGTGTGCGCGTGGCTCCGATGATTCCCTCTGTACTCAGCTCAACTCCGTCCAGAGTGGAAAAACAAAATTTCTGAAACAAACTGACGAAAAACAAGAACAACTCCGTTCTCGCCAGGCCCTCTCCCAGACACGCACGCTTCCCTGGGGAAAACAAGAGCAACTCTCACCATCTATCCACGGTTACGTCACTTTATTCCTACATCACATAATGATTCAAGTATAAAGTTTCAGTTGAATGTGAAGTGTACCTGCGGAGAAAGGTAAAAATGCATCCCTCCTCACAAACTTTCCCTCAGCATCTAGGAAGTGTCCGGGGTTGAAGGTGTCTGGAGTCTCCCATTGAGTCTTGTCAAACAGCACGGAGGTCAGGTTTGGCATCACAGAAGTTCCCTGCACAAACCATGAGAAAACAGTCAACTCACTGTTATAGTTCTCAAATTGTAGCTCTATAGTTACAGCACAAGGAGTGTAAGCACGTTTATGGTGTAACAGAGAGTTAATGTTTATCTTAGACTGTACTTATACGGAGGGATAGGAAGAGATAAACCTTTTTGAGCGTCTGAGTGCACACACCTTGTTGATAGTCGACAAGGTGTGTTAAGGGTATTGACTCAATCTCAGGGCTTCTGCTGAAGGGATGTCGCAGGCAAACGTAATATATCTTCTTAACTTATATCTAACCTCAGTTTAGTCATGTCAAATGTTCTTGTCTCATCAGCACTTCAGCAAAGGTTAAGTGTCTTTAAAGGATCTGAGTATTTCTTCCACCGCTGCATATTGGTTTTCTTTTGACTCCCTTGCTGCTGTGTGTTTTAAATAGATGGACCTTGGGTATGAAGTAACCGCCCAGTGTTGTGTCTTTGGCAGCCATTCTGAATCCATTGAGAGGAACAATATTTCCCATCCTCTGGATCTCATGGATGACAGCGTCGGTGTAAGGCAGGTTGGGTCTGTCGGCCATGGTGGGCTGGCGTGTCTGTCCGATCACTCGGTCTACCTCTGCCTGGACTTTGTCTGCGAGGTGAAATGAAAGAGTTTAATCAATCGGTTAAAGTAACCTCTATGAGATGAGTTTGTCTCATCTGAACACCCACCTTGGATATGAGGGTTCTTGATGAGGTAGATGAGGCCCCATTGCAGAGTCTTTGAAGTGGTTTCACTGCCAGCCAGGAACAGATCCAGACAACACAGAACCAGGTTTCCTTCCTCAAAGCCCTGTTCACTGCGTCTGTTATGCTTTGTAGGCAGAGTGGAGGGGTCAGTTCATGAAACAGAAAGTTTTCTCTTCACATACGTAACGACAGTCTAAGTCAAGAATGTGAACATAATACTTCTATCAGGAAGGTGTCAATGTAATCCCGCGGGTTGCTGGGGTCCAGGTCCAACTTGTGCCTCTCAATCTCTCTCCTGATAGACGCCTCTAAAGATTTGGAGTTGGTGAAGATGCCGTTGTGAGGCCCTGGCAGGTGTTTCATCAACGCTGGGAACGCATCGTAAAACTGTTTGGAGAGGAAACAAGGGGCTAATTCAGCAATGTTGTTTTTATCCAGTGGCAAGTAAAGATCTCACTCTGGCTTGGAAAATGTTCGGCTATAAAAACTTTACAGTCAATACAAAGTCAGATGACTCCCTGCAGTAACAAATCTGTCTTCTTAAGCATGTGTCTGTGTTGCTCTTGCGTCTTACAAGGGCCCATATGGATCCTTCCAAATAGGCCATCTCAGTCAGATTCTTCAGCATGCTCTGGAAGTTGTGATCGCTGTAGTCAAACCGTTTCCCAAACACTATCTGGCAGATGATGTTGGCCACGGCGTTGTTTAAGAGGGGCACAGGGTCAAATGGCTCACCTGAACAGAAGAAATGTCTTCAGTCTGAGTACACTGTGTATTTGTCTCTTTTTTTTTTTTTTTTGGTGCCAACCTTTCTCCTTCTCCATCGCCTCTTGTAGATGTCGACTCTCCTCACAGATGCTCTGCTCCATGGAGCTCTTGGCCAAACCAAAGGTGCGTAACATGGCCATGGCAAAGCGCCGCTGTCTCCTCCACACCTTCCCATTACTGAAGAATAGACCAGCTGAGACAATCGGAAACCAAACATTGATCAGACAGGGCTCTGACTACTTTAATACCGATGTACTCCACGAGCGTACTCCGGGCTTGTGTGATTTACCTGAGTTCCCTGAATAAATTCTGTTCACCATTGGGCTGTGAGGCCGATCCACAAAGTTTTCAGCCTGTGTCACTAAGGCTTCCTTCACCATCCTCCAGCCAGACACAAACACTGTTTTGTGTCTCCCCAGACGTATGCAGAACACATTCCCATAAACATCAGCAAGCTGTGGATGCAGGAGCACACGATAAGCGGCCTATTGTTGAGCATGTGACTCTGATAAGAGTTAACATTGTGACTTAATAACAACTGGTTTTTAACATTGTTTTTTTTTTACATAAACTTTTAATATTATATTGCAGCAAAGCCACAAATAAACAGACATTTTGGTAGCCTCCCCATGCTTGAGGGCCTGTCTAACTTATACGAAGCAGTGACTGTAAATTTAAGTATTAGTGAATAGTTATTTTCTCCTTTTGGACATGCTCAAGTTGTTCAGGTGAACTTTTCAGAATAAAAAAAAAAAAATTCTATTACATAAAATGTCTTGATGCTGTCAGCTTACCTTGGTTAGGTAAATGTGAGGCTGTTTAGGTTCAATGCTGAAGACGTTTCCTAAAAGAGGGAGAGCTAGTGGTCCCGGGGGAAAGTTAGGTGGATCCTTTTTTACCAGAAAATACACTACCAGGAGAACGGTGAAAATAAAGAGCAGAATTCCCCTCAGATCAAGCCACAGAAAGAGAAAGTGCCTCATTGTGAACCAGAGTAGGAGCTGAGAAGAGCAAGAGACTGATTCGGATCACATTGTCGCTCCATCATCCGTTCCTAGTTATAGATGGGCTGGTACTCTGCTGACTCACAGCTTATGTAGATATAATGATCTATGTGTGTGTGTGTGTGTGAGACAGAAAGTTGGGATGCCCCTTCATTTACCAAATAAAGAATACAAAGTAAGTTATAAGCTGAAAACTGAACCAAACATACACTCAATGCCAATAATAGACATTATGAAGGGGAAACCAGGCTATAACATAAAACCAAATTTGTCAAAAATGTTGTGTTTTTACAGCAGAAATGTTTCCTTCTCCTCTCTTGTTTAAGATTGAAGATGCCAAATTGGCTGCTAAGGTATATGTTATACTGCTTTAATAAAGCGTATGTAGGTGTTTTTAGCGCATGTATATGGTTACAACCTCAGAGTCTGCTTTGTAAAGGCTAAATTGTTCAAGCATTGTAGCAAGTCACAACTTCCATCCATTATTTATCACAAGTTGAACACAAAAAGTTATGCAGATTTTTTTTTTTTAAAAAAAGAAGTGATGATTCTGAAATTGCAGACTTTTTTTAAATAGGGTTATGATATGGATATGGTGTTTTATAGGCATTGTATTTATGGTTTGTGTTTTGTGTGTTGTGGCGAGGAGGAGAGAGGCAACCTCATTTACAGCCAGAAACAGCTCAATGCTACCCCGGTGCGGTGGGCTTATGCTACAACATTTAGTATCAGTATGTAGTACTAATATTTTCTAAAGTGACAGGATGGAATATTTGTAATGCAATTGTAGCATCTATCAAATTATGAACAGGGTATAAGTTTGTCTGTAGCAAATAAGACAATCCTAGTGAACGCTGTAGCTGTCATTGCTATCTACCAGTGTTGTTCTTCATGCTGCCACCGCAAGGGGCCAAAGTAAGTGGCTGGTAAATAAGTCACCACCAGCTTATGTGTTGAAACAGCTCCACTAACTGACTGACTTTGTTATGATGACGTAAACCAAGTTTCTGACACATATCAATAGATAATTAGTCATTTGTTTAAATTAATTTAAATAATTTCAGTTTATTATTTATTAATGGTTTATACATGATGTATAACTTATCATCGTGCTTGTCATTCTAAAGTATGTATGTACATTCTGTCGTTAATAACTACAGGGACAAAGGCAAACTCTACTTTTAAACTGTACAATCAACTTTTTTTTTTTTTAATGAAACAATAACTTCAACAGGCAGATTTAAATGTACAGACAGAGAGACTAAACAGTCCCTCAGTACATGAAGCAATCATACGACAGTGAAAGGCTTTCTCTTCTTAAGTGTTTTTGATTAGGTCATGTCTGTTACACGTTGATTAAATGGAAAATGGTTCAGTGAGATGTTACAGTATTCAGCGAGCCTTTGCGTAAACCTTGAAGGGGTGCGGTGTTCGTGTCGATCCAGTGACTCCCTCTGTACTCAGCTCGACTCCGTCGGGAACAGAGAAAGTGAACTTCTGTAGTAAACCTACAAAAAACAGGAACAGCTCCATCTTGGCCAGGCCTTCTCCAAGACACACACGCTTCCCTGAAGAGTCCACAAACGCACACACATGGGGGTGTAAGAGCACAGGATAACACTTATGTTGTGGTTCAGGTTATGCTAAAGATTGAGGTGAATATGGTTAACCTGCAGAGAAAGGCAGGTAAGCTTCTCTCTTCACAAACTTTCCCTCAGCATCTAGGAAGTGCCCAGGGTTGAAGGTATCCGGAGTCTCCCATTCATCCTTGTCCATCAGCACGGAGGTCAGGAAGGGCATTACAGCCGTGCCCTAAAAAAAGAGATCCATAACAGGCTAACACCAAGCTATGCTGCAGCCACAACCCTCACATTTTTCATTCAAGTTGTAATCCTGTTTACACTTTAAATTACAGTGATGTAGATGCACCTTGGGGATGAAGTAACCACCCAGTGTCGTGTCCTTGGCAGCCATTCTGAGTCCGTTAAGAGGAACGATGTTGCCAATCCTCTGGATTTCGTGGATGACAGCGTCAGTGTAAGGCAAGTTGGGTCTGTCAGCCATAGTGGGCTGGCGGGTCTGTCCAATCTCTCTGTCTATCTCTGCCTGGACTTTTTCTAGATATTCAAGAAAGCAGTGATTTTAGCTTATAGCAATTGGAGAAAGATTTTAAATTGCATTTGATGCCCTGATCTGTAATCTAACACCGTGATCCTGCATTCATGCCAGGTCAGATTCCCATTGACATTCACATTAACACACAACAGCAACTTTCTTTTCTTTTATCAAACAGAGGTGTAACATTTTTTACAACTTCCCTAATATACATGTTCTTTAAATGTTCTCATGTTGCTGACACGTGCTTGCAAAGTGTTCCTCCGTTATTTTCTAACTGAACTGCATTTTTACAGAGAAAAACATTTATCTGAACAATTTAACTGCTCTTACATTGAATACATATAGTCATGGTCCCCTCAGGATGAATTGTATAAACTTTGCTGATCCCTTAATGTTTCATCTCACACCATTACCAGGTAAAACATTTTGAATTTCACCAGTACTTTGGTTAATATCCCATTACCTGCAGAGAACATGGCATTCCCATCAACCACAGTTTTGTATCTGGTGCTAATTAGCAAATGTTAGCATGCTAACATTCTCAACTGAGATGGTGAACATATTTATCATTATTATTTCTTAATATTATGATGCTAGCATTGTAATTATGAGCGTGATGTTAGCATGCAGCTCAAAGTACGGCCTAAGTCACCTACCCTGGACGTCAGGGTTTTTGATGAGGTAAACCAAAGCCCATTGCAAAGTGGTGGAGGTTGTTTCTGTTCCAGCTAGGAACAGATCCGTAGAGCACAGAGCCATGTTGGTCTCAGTGAATCCCAGGTCAGAGTCTTTGTGCTGCTCACAAATGCAGATGAGGAAAGTGAATGATTAGGAGTTGACAGAGAGGGCTACAACTGTACAGTGCTGTGTGTGTAATGCAGTTGTTCACATACATTCTCCATTTCAATGAGGAAAGCGTCAATGTAGTCCCGGGGATTGCTGTGGTCCAGGTCGTCCTTGTGCCTCTTTACCTCCTGAGTGATGAAGTCTTTAACAGCATCAAAGTGCCTGAATACGTCATTGTGAGGACCTGGCAAGAGCTTCATCACTCCAGGGAACGTCTCATACAGCTAGAGAAAATTTCATTCACATTATCTCCCTTCACCTTTTGAATTTTGACCCACAATCCCACCAGAGCGCTGTCTCTCTGACTATCATTGAAATAAACTCAGATTATTGACTCACTTGAACCCATATGGAGCCCTCCAGCCGAAGGACCTCGGCCAGATTATTCAATATGGTCTGGAAGTTGTGGTCACTGTAGTCAAAGCGTCTCCCCATCACCAGCTGGCAAATAATGTTGGACACAGCGTTGCTGAAGAGGCCTACTGTGCTAAAAGGTTCACCTGGAGGAGAAAAGTCCACTTGTTAGGACAACTCCATTTTGCTGAGGATGTTTTGCTGCTTCTCATGTAGGATTATGATTTTATAATACATTAATTTTAAACAACCTTTCTCCTTCTCTATCTCCTCCTGCAGGTATTTGATCTCCTCACAGATACTCTGCTCCATGATGCTTTTGCCAAAACCAAAGTTGCGCAAGGTAGACAAGGCAAATCGCCGCTGTCTCTTCCATGTTTCACCATTACTCATGAACAGACCGTCTGCACACAAGCATGCAGAAGAGAAAGGGTTAATTGCAGGAACTAATTTCTGCACTGGATGACATAAGAGAAAGAGAAAAATTTTTACACCTGTGGTTCCTGAGTAAAACCTGTCACTGGCTGGACTGTATGGTCGATCCACAAAGTTTTCAGCTTGTGTAACTAAGGCTTGCTTCACCATCTTATACCCAGACACAAGCACCACCTTGCTGCTGCCAAATCGGATGCTGAATACATTCCCATAGATGTCAGCCATCTGGAGACATCAGAGAGGGACAAACACTGGTGAGCCACAAAACACTACTGCATTTTTTAACTTTTTAAATTGTTCAGAAACAAAACCTACCAATGCTTGATGAGAAACAAATGGGCTACCAGGTGTGTCAAGCATGCTTAGATGTTAGAATTTGCCATTTATATGTACAATTTGACCACAATATGTCAGTATCTGTCGGTTATTTCTACGTTTTTTATAAACATTTTAAATGCAAATGCACATTTCCTGAAGTGTGTAGACAATTTAAAGTTACATTCTCTAGATTAATTACTAAATTTGATTGAACTGAGGATAGTATCGGCAGGTGGAAGGAACTCTTTCTTAGCAGCAGATTTTTCATTTTCAATGTGTGCACTCAAATTATTCACTGCTCGGCCTCCCGGGGAAAGCCTATGCCTCAAGGGATCATGGGAGTTTGCCCATCCAGTCTACATGTGCTTTGTGGACTTGGAGAAAGCCTTGGATAGGATTTCAAGACGCAGTCGGTTTAAGGGCCACAGAATTTTCTCTCTGCTATTTGCAGATGTGAAGCAACTCGGATGAGGGTCAGCACCTCCAGGTCTGATGTCATGGTTCTCAGCCGGAAAGCGGTGGATTGCTCTCTGTGGCTTGGGATGGAGTTTAGGTATCTTGGGGTCTTGCTCAAGTGCTGAGAAACCAACTGGGGCAAAGCTCTTGATTCACCAGTCGATCTTCATTCCAACCCTGACCTATGGTCATGATCTTTGGGTAGTGACAAGGTGACAAGGTGACAAGGAAGTGAAAGAACGACGTCACGGTTACAGAACACACTGGAGAGATTATATAATTCATCTGGTCTGGGATTACTTTGCTTAACCTGCTGCCACTGTGACCCGACCCTACATAAGCGGCAGAAAATGGAGGAATGGATGGATTCTCTTGACGAATTACAAAATTTGATCTGATCAAAGTTATACTTATTTTTATTGCACACATAAGCCACTATCCTAAGAGTGATTGCACAATAGTGTTTGTGAAAGATCTTGAACTGATTGTAAATTCTATTAAATCAGTTACCATATTTAAATGTATTAGAATATCTTAATAAAATTCACATTTGAAATTAGAAATATGCACAACAATTTCTTTAAAAACTCAAAGTGACAAAATATAGTTGAAATAATAAAAAGTCTTCTAAGGTGAAGCCTCCTATGTATTGAACTGTACCTTGGAAAAACAAATGTGTTGATCTTCGCTGTCCACATTGAATAAATTCCCCACAAAGGGCAGAGCCAGCGGTCCTGGAGGATAATTTGGTGGATTCCTGTTTTTGAGATAATCTGCTATAAGAAGGAAAATAAAGATAAAGAGCAACACTCCTTTGAGGTCCAAACTCAACAAAAAATTATAAAGCCACATGGTGAAAGAGAGCCAAGCAGCAGCAGCAGGAGGGAGGTCTGTGATTTTCAAGATTTTCCTCTTCCTCACTTGAAAACACCTGTGTTTGTATAATGCCTGTTCACGCTCAGTGGCTACACACTAATACACACCAACATAACTGGACAGACAAAAAAAGTAAATCAGAAACAGTACAAAGGTGCTTGTGACATTGTAGTTACATAACCAGTTTCAGATACGCCCATCTTTGCCTTGACAAACAAGACCTCTGTCAGGGCAGGTATGATGAAACTTAAAGCATATATATAAATAATGAAATATTTTTTTTGGCTCAAAATAGTTTAGTTTTCATCACTCATGAGCGACAACATTGTCTGCTGAGCAGTATGTGTTTCAGTGACCTTAGACAGAGACTCAATGTTCATTGTGTAGCCTATGACCTGTCTGATAGATGATAAATAAATGATGTGGTGTGCGAAATAAACAAAAAGGTTAATAATAACACCTGATAACCTTGACATAAACCATGTGATGATGATTCCAGGTGTCAAGCCAACAACACAAAGTGCAGTGGGAATAAAAGGCATGAGAATTTTCTTAGAAATGGCAGAAATGTAAATCATATATGCCAACTGTTTTGCAAGGAACAGCAAAAATCACTTATTGATTTAAGAACAAAATACGACATAACTAATACAGATTTTTTTTTTTTTTTTTTTAAAGAATAGTTTCAATACATGTGTTTTGTACATTCCCTCATTAACTGAAAAGAATTAACAGTTTAAGTTAATAGTATTACTGGATAGAGTGCTGACTGCCACCCCAATTACAAATCTGAGAATTGCCACTTCTTATTTTGCCTCCTCCTTAAAACTCCCGGAGGATAATTCCCCAAACTATCCTAGATGCAAAATCAAAGAAGGAACATTTATGCATCTTTTTTTTGGCATTTGTTTGTGGAAAGCTATTCATGCTTTCAATAAATCACTGTTAGATATAGAAGTTAATATTAATCCACGTATGTGTCTTCTACACTAAAGACCATGTCTGATATACAATACTTTACAGCTGTGGATCACAGGATGAGGTGTGATCCATTAACAGCAACATGAGAAAAAGGTGGGAATAGGATACATTTAATGAAATCAATGCATAGACCAAATCATAGGCAACAAATATACCCAAGGGTTTTTGTTATTAGTATTATTTATTATTGAATGGGAGACACTGTTATTGGAGTTGTTGAAACTTGAAGCTTAACAACTTGCATATCCATCATCATAGATGTCATTAAATGATGCAAAGTTCACAGAGTTGTTTGTGTGTCAGAGTGCACTGTTGTGTTATATAAATCCAAACAGAGCAGTTAAAACCCTTACGTAATCAATACATTGTCAGTATTAGGTCATTACATTAAGTAACACTCAAAGGAACGATGGTTAATGAACCTGTAGATAAAAGCTTGTCACGCCACTGATAGATACTGGATCAGGACACAGATATGTTACAGCAGTAGATTATTTTTTAGTTTAGTTTTAGTAAATTAACTGTAACATTTGTAGCAAGCAAGTCACCAAACTCCATGTAATAATGATGAACGACATGTACCAAGTTTAAACCAGATGTACTTCTGAGTGCAGCAAAACTAAAAGGCAAGTTTGGGTAAAATGATAATTAGTTTTTATTGTGCACAACAACACAGTCTTAAAACCACATTGAAGGTAATTGGGTTTTATTTACATCTGGGGGCAAAATGTTTTCCAAGTTCCACTTTGATTTTTTTGGTCTTGAAGAAGAATATATTGATCCTGCTCAGCGATGCTTGCTTTTTGTTTAGAGTGGAGAACATCAGCGAGGTATGGCTAGCATCTTGAACTCCTCTGGGGAATGGGTGAAGCCCAGCACACCCTCCAAGCTGGGCATCTCTCCAGGAGCGGGAGAGAAGGTGAAGCGCTGGAGGAGGGATGCAAAGAAAAGGAACAGCTCCATTTTGGCCAGGTGCTCCCCTAAACACACACGTTTACCTGTGGAGAAACAGTCCACAGCCGCTTTAGCTCAGCAGATTCCTCACATATGATACATGTGCCAAATATGAATTATGTTGGCACCAATTCTTGTAAATCAGATTGTATTACTGAAATCAAGAAGTGAAGAACAAACCCGCTGAAAATGGCAAGAAAGCGTTTCTCCTTCGGAACTGACCCTCTGAGTCCAAGAAATGCTCAGGATTGAAGTTATCTGGAGTCGCCCATTCATTCTTATCAAGCAACACAGATGCTAGTATTGTCACAATAGCTGTGCCCTGGAAAAAGAGTCATGAGATTTTTTTTTTATATCAGCTATGTATTAATAACTTTACAACTTTTACAACCAGTCATTCTCTGGTAAATAGTCCCTTACTTTGGGTATGAAGTATCCTCCCAGTGTAGCGTCTTTGCTGGCCATTTTGGGGAATCCCAGCGGAACAATATTTCCCATCCTCTGGACCTCATGGATGACAGCGTCAGTGTAGGGCAGGTTGGGCCTATCGGCCATGGTGGGGTGGCGAGATTGTCCGATCACTCGGTCTATCTCTTCCTGGACTTTCTCTGAGTGAGGGAGTGCGGTCAGTCAGTACACAACAGACAGCTCATTGGCCATTATAACCTTCATGAGAATACTCGAGTCCTTAACATGATAAATGAGGATGAATTGACTCACTCTGTATCTCTGGGTAGTGTATCATGTAAAGGAGCGCCCAGCGTAAAGTGGTGGCAGCTGTTTCTGTCCCGGCCTCGATCAGGTCGAGGGTGCAAATCAGCAGGGTTTCAATGTTGAAGCCAGCCGAAGGATCCTCTTTTTTCTGGCAGTGTGTCAACAGAAAAAAAAAAAGTTTATTTTATGATGTTATGCACAGGTCTGTGCTCTTAGAGGCTGCTTCATATATTATCATTCATAGATGGAACATGACATTTTATAGTAATAATTTACTGGATTGTGGACTTTCTTTCACACAAATTTAACCTCTTACTTTCCCAGTTAATTACTAATAGTGTGTTCACACACACGGGTCTCTGTCAGCATGACTCATTGAAACTACTGGCTCATCGTGACTGTAGCAGTTGACATGTATGAAGACAGTTTGTCGGGTTCAAGAAGAGTTGATTTAAATATCTGAACAACTCTAAATATCTTTTATATGGACGGATGGGATGTGTTTCAATCTGAGCAGAGTTGTGTGCAGGACCTTTAACGGTGAAAGTGAAAACTATATTCATGTTATGTGGTTGATTTGTGCATCGTATGATGATTGTTCATTTTTTGTTTTTTTTCATTCATGGACTGATGAATCGGTTTTTCTGTTGAAATGACCATGAAGGGAAAATAACTAACTCAGTTTAACAGTACTCCACTGGGCATTATTGAAAATGTAAAAACATCTTGCCTTCTCCATCTCCGCCAGGTAAACGTCGACATAATCACGAGGGTCATTGGCGTTCCACTCCTCCTGGTGTTTCTCTATTTCCTTCCTCAGGAACATCACGATCTCTTTGTAGTTGCTGTGGAAAGTCTGGTGAGGTCCTGGCAGGTACTTCAGCAAGCCAGGGAAGGCATCATACAGCTGTTTGATGTAATAAAGTCTCATATCAGTTATAGACCAGCAGTACAGTTTGTTTTGTGATCACAAGATAATAGTTAAAAGACGAATTACCTGTGTTTGGGGAGAGCCAGCGAGCAAAACGGCCTCATTGTCCAACTCCAGAACCTTGCGAAAGTTTTGATCACTGTATTCAAAGCGATGTCCAAAGACCACAGAGGAGATGATGTTACTCACTGCATTGGTTATGGTGTAGTGGGGGTTGAATTGTCTTCCTGGGAATATAGTAAATCAAATTTGAGCAATAGTAAATCATCCTAAAACGGCAAACAATTAAGGTAAATCACACGAGCCATCTACTTGCCTTGTTCCTCTTGGAAAGCTTCACAAAGAATGTTGCTTTCCACTTCAATATATTTTTCCAGCGACTTCTGGCCCTCTCCAAAGTAACGCAGGTGAGTGTTGGTAAACTTCCTCTGTTTCTTCCACAGGTAACCATTGCTCAAAGCTATGCCTGTGAAAATGTTATATCAAATTGTTAACAAAGCAAACAGGCTGTGCACAAAGCCCGATGCACGATGAACAGAAACGCTTGATGTCACTCCCTAATCTCTGCAGTTTGGTGCGTCCTATTAGACAGTGACGAGTTGTAGACACCAACGTATCAACACTACACGTATTCAGCATTCACATTATAATTTATCCCACATGAGCCGGCTGTCCAAACCAGGATTTCAGGTTATAGTTATAGAGAAAAGCCATTTGTTATACCATTTTATTTACCTACTCACCAAGGCCCTTGAAGACAACATGGAAGAGAGGAACGACAGGTCGGTCAACAAAGCTGTCCAGCTGGTTGACAAGAGCTTCTTTGACCATCTTGTATCCTGAAATAAACACCATCCTCTCGCTGCCTCTCCTCAAGCTAAACACGGGGCCGTACTCCTGAGCAAGCTGTATTCAAAAACAACATACTTTTCAAGAAGGAAATGTTTGTCAAAGACATTTTGAAACTTTCAGTATATAAATTATGCATTAGAAATAAAGGCTGTTTTGTCAGCTGAAACGCTAAAAGTGTGTCAAATAACATCAATACTTCACTAAAAAAGGACAAACTTTGAAGTATTGAAGTAGTTCCTCATTGCAACCACTGCTACAAAAGGTTCTACTATTCTGCTAAATTCACCTTGTGCATGCTGTTACCCTGTGTTGATGTAGTTTGTCATTGTTTGGTGTATCCAATGTTCAATAAGTAATGACTGACATTTTTTGTATGAGACTGTGATAAATCTGAACCTTTGCAGTGGTCTTTGTAACAATCACTGTAATTTGAGTCATTTTCCATGAGGTGCAGCATTATTTTTTTTTACCATCTGTCAATCAAGCAGCAGAAAATATACGTTGGTTTGGGTGAAATACATGAGCACACACTGATACGAAACTGACACTTGTTGAGAAAAACTTTTTAATTGCAATCTTATGATGTGTATGTATCATTAGTCCTTGCTCTCCTCATGTTGACAACACTACTCTATTTAAACCCTCTGCCCCATGGATATTAAAAAACTTCCTCTCTTTGTAAAAACTCAAGCACACACTCAATAAAGTGTTACTGGTCACCTCACCTTCTCCATTGTTTTGAAGTCAACTCCAGTGAAGACATTTCCTAGAAAAGGCACAGCCCAGGGTCCAGGTGGGAAGTTGTGAGGCCTCCAGTTTCTTACCACATCAGTCAAAAGTAACAATACAAAACCAAACAAGAGCCAACCAGTAAAGTCCATGCAATCAAAAATCGCTTGAAAAATCATGATGAAGATATTTCAAAAGGTCCACTGTTTGATCCTGCACGTTATTTGGGAGAGGAGTGCAGGAAACTGGAAAAAGAAAAACAGGGGAACAGCAAGGGAATGTTATGTTACGTAACACTTATGTCCTCTCTGGACCTCTGAAGTGAAAAACAAGGCTGGAGCTTGAACTTTTCAACCATACTGTTGCACATGCACTGCATGTTAGGGACACAAGGCGGGCTTCCCAATAATTTTAATAAGATAATTTATCTTTGATCAATCAATAAATCAAGTACCAATGTAAAGTCATATTCAAATACATTATAGTTTTTGTACAGTAGATGGATTTTATACATGTGTGTACATAGGTTTAGCGGCCAGACACATTTGGCCCAGTATCAAAGTGTGCAGCAATAAAATAATTCAGTAATTGACAATGACATTGCACAACCCTTACCTTTACCATTACCTAACCCTAAGTATAGCCTTATGTCTAAATTAAAGTCTTAACCATTAAACAGCCTTCTGGAGAAATGAAGACCATTTAGGACACCCAGCAGCAAATAAAGTAGTTAGAGTTAGCCCCACCTTCACCAACTGCAACATTAAAGTAGTCCTAATGCTTACACATTAATGCATCTATAGCCTTCTTCAAATAGGCCTAACATGTATGATAAGGTCATTCTGCATAATGAGAACTTTTTGACTATAATGTAATAGCCTAATGTGCTTTTATTTAAGTAATTATTTTAATGCAGGACGTTTACTTGTATCAGAGTTATTTCTACACCGTGGCATGTTTAAGTAAATATCTGAGTTATTCCTCCGCCACTAACAGGCACACACGCGCTTTTATTTTGAAAAAACAAAACGCCGGAAATACTGTCTTGTTATCACAGTTACCTCTCTGGTTCCTGGAGTTAAGACAATGTCCCAGTGTGGTTACAAACTTGATTGAGCTCTGTGCAGTCGTGACATGTACTGCTATAAAACAAGGAAGCTAGTATAAACAAGCCAACGAATGGAGACAATATACGGGTTACTCGGCCTGGAGTGGATAGACGCCTGGAGTATTTTGATATTTCTGTGCGTTTTCCTGCTGTTGGCTGATGTTTTGAAGAACAGAGTGCCGTCAGACTTTCCTCCTGGACCGTGGGCTCTGCCTTTGATTGGTGATCTTCATCGCATTGATCCCACCAGACTTCACCTGCAGTTCACAGAGGTATGTCTCTATAAATACAGTGCGAATGCCGTTCAGTCAAATGGCTCAGGAAAAACAAGAGAAAACAACAAAACATCCTTAGGATCAAGTACCCACTACCCATTGCTTTTCGTTGCACATTCTACATTTTTAAATAAATATTACTTTTTTTTTAATTTAGTAATATTCATTTCAAAATCAAATAAATAAATAAATAAATATGTCTGTGAATGAAAAGTCCAGAAAGTGAAAACTCCATTTCTCCATGAATTAGTTTCAGGAAAGTTCCCCTGGGAAATGTAAGAAACCATTAACTTATGTGCAAGAAGACTGCAGAAATGGACTTAGCCTTCAAAAGTAAAAACTCAACCAAACTGTTTGGCCCAGTTTAAACAGAGTCAAATATCCCCTGTGTTATGTAATCAAGTGAAATAGCACCATTAGCACTGGATGTAGAGCCAAAGGGGTTAGGTAGCTCCAGAGTCTCAAGTCATTGCATCAAGTGTTATGAAATGTTGACGGACAGTTCACTGGCAACCATTTTAACTCTTTGTTAATCATTTAACTCATTCTGAGCCAGAAATGTTCTGGTTCCAGCTTCTCAAATGTAAATATTTACTGATGTTCTTACTAAATTGAATCTCTTTGGGAATGTCTGGAGATGGCCTTTTTTTTTTTTTTTTACCTTAACCCTAACTCAAATATTGGCAAATACATTTTGTGGAAAACATTTTACAAGCAAGAATAGTAAGAAATACTGTAAGAAGGGCCACCAGGTTGCACAGGGAACAAAGAGAGAGAAGAAAAGCTCTTGTCCAATACCTTGTCATAACCTGGACCTTATCCTAGGTTGGAGTGCCTCCTCTTCAGTGATGCCACGTACTGTATGCTTCATCATCAAATGTGTCAGAATTACATCTCACTGTCTGTTTACTCAACATGGTGATAGCCACAAATTTGCCCTCAAACACAGCCATCTATTACCCTTAATATTTCACTGAAGAAACAGTCACCACCAGACTTAAAAAATAAGATGCAAACCAATTAGGAATGAAAGATGAGGTCTGCAGTTGTTTGAGTTTTCTTTAACCAGCCTCTAGTGGCTTTAATAGGAACTGCATGTGGAGTCACTCCCTAGCCACCCAGTCATGTTTGCAACGTGGTCTCTTTTCATGAGACGTGTAATATTTGTGAGACTGCATTATTCAAATAGCTGCACTCACAACTTTACACTTGCAATAATAATGCTTTTTTTTTTTTACACAGCCTAGAGTCACTATTGTCAATGGCAAATCCAGAGATTAAACATGGTGTGTTCAGTTTGCAGAGAAATATGGAAACGTTTTCAGCCTTCGCATCTTTGGTGGACGGTGTGTGGTTATTAATGGCTATAAACTTGTGAGAGAAGCCCTGGTCCAAAGAGGAGAGGACTACACAGATCGTCCCATCATACCACTGTTTGCTGATTCAGTTGGGAATAGAGGTAGTCTGCGTTGCAGGTTATTTAAACAGTTCCTAGTTGATGATCAGTGAGGCCAGAAGTATCAGACATACACCATGTGAAGCGTATTAACATTTAATTTGTGGTATTTACATTCAGGTCCTGTTACATATGGTTTAATGCTATTTTGTGTTTTTCCAAAAGGTCTTGTGTTATCAAATGGTAATCCATGGAAGCAGCAGAGGAGATTTGCTCTTCATACTCTCAGAAACTTTGGTTTGGGCAAGAAAACTCTGGAGCCATCCATCCAGCAGGAGTGCCGATATCTCACTGAGGCTTTCGCAGTTCATCAAGGCACTAAACAAATCTTATTTTGTATATATATATATATATGTGTGTGTACATATATGGCTTTGGCTGGTACTGTATATATTTATTTGATGTTTCTATCTCCTCTCTTTTACAGGAAAACCCTTTAATGCCCTGCCACTGATAAACAATGCTGTGTCCAACATCATCTGCTGCTTGGTGTTTGGGGATCGATTTGAGTACACTGACGAGCACTACAAGTCTATTCTTCAGAACTTCAGTGATGTAGTGTCCTTACAGGAAAGTTTGGTGATACAGGTTAGCTAAGATAGTGCACACAGTAACCTTTTTAAAATCAAAATTTATCCAGCCAGAGACCAAAAAATGAATCGTGTATTTTAACAACAATATTTTAAAAAGATTCCATTACAACATAATTAAAATGAAACTAAATAAATAACAACTAAATAAAGAAAAAGGGTGAAAAAAATGGTCATAATGATCATCCACTCATAATGATCTGTTTGACCTGCACAGATGTGATCACTGTATCATGTTTCCACTGTACATCTATCAGATAAATGTAGTGGAGTAAAGACTAAAATATTTCCCTCTGAAATATATATCGGAGTAGAAGAAGAAGAATTGGTTTGAAATACTCAAGTACAAATACCCCATAACTGCACTGTAGTACAGTACTTAGTTACTTTCCACCACTATGTGTAACAAACAAACACACTAAAGCACTGAAGAATCTCCTGGACATGGGCTTACAGGTAATTTTGTTTACTGACAGCAGGTGGTGGGATTCATCAAAACCCATCAGACCTTCGCCAAGGCCAAACAACATACACCGAACCTCAGAGAAAAAAATTTAAATTATAGTAAATCATCCAGATCTGCTTCAAAATTGAATTGGTTCTTCTCCGGCCCATCCCCCATCCCTCCGCCAAGTTTGGTGCATATTACTTCCATAACTTTTGCATAATCCTTCCAACAAATAAACACACACACAGGTGAAAACATGACCTCCTTGGCAGAGGTGATAAGTGGACCACAACTACATACAACTGTCCATGAATGGTAATGCCTGATGTTTAGAAAATCTTTGTCTGTACTCAAGTGGTGAACTGTTGCCTGATTCTCAGATGAGCTGGTATCTGTCCTCCTGCTCTGTAGATTTACAACGCAATGCCCTGGCTCATGAAGTGGCTGCCTGGACCTCACAAGAAGATACTCACTCTGTTACAGAAGATTATTGACTTCATCGAAATCAAGATCAAGGAACACAGAGAAAACCTTGACCCCTCCTCACCACGAGATTACATCGATTCCTTCCTCATAGAAATGGGAGACGTGAGTGTTTTTATTTGACTGTACCATGTTTGTTCATAATGCATTTTCAAATGAAATATGTCAACTGACTACTGTCTCTTTCTGTCATTAATAGAAGGAAGACAAAGATTCTGGTTTTGATTTAAAAAATTTGTGTATTTGCACCCTGGACCTGTTTGGTGCTGGAACTGAAACTACTACTACTACTTTACGGTGGGGACTTCTATACATGATCTACTATCCTCACATACAAGGTGTGTGTGTGTGTGTGTGTATGTGCACGTGCGTGTGTACGTGTGTGCGAGTCCCTCCCCATGCCTGCATCCTTTGCATGCATCTTGACATAACTTCATAGTATCAGGGCCCTCTCATAGGTCAAGCCTGTGCTGACTGAGAAAGAGAAAATGGGAGGGAGGGAGGTTTTGCACATAATTTCCCCTTCTGTTTGTGCAGTTTCACAATGTTTCCTGTTTTCACTGTGTGCAGAGAGAGTCCAGGCTGAGATAGATGCTGTGGTTGGTTCATCCAGACAGCCCTCTGTGACTGACAGAGAAAACATGCCCTATACTGATGCAGTCATCCATGAGATCCAGAGAATGGGCAACATCATCCCACTTAATGTGGTCCACATGGCAAACAAGGACACCACGTTCGACAAGTACACAATTCCAAAGGTACATGATGGACATTTTTAGAAAGAACTGCTTTGTGTGGGCATTTGGCTTATTGTTTGTTTTCTATTATATATTATATTTTTTGGCATAGTTTTTGAATGCCCTACTTTTTTTGCCACTCACTCCAAAATCATCACCTTTTTGACATTTTTCAGGCCAGTCAATGCTTTTGATTAATATATTTCTCCAGGGCACCATAATCATACCCACACTGCACTCGGTCTTACATGATGAGTCGATGTGGGAAACTCCACACTCCTTCAACCCTCAACACTTTCTGGACCAGGATGGTAAATTTAGGAAGAGAGAGGCTTTCCTTCCCTTTTCAGCAGGTCAGTCAGCAGTTACAACCCTCCAAAACTCAGTTACATGTTGTTTAAATCAAGCTTTACGAAGGAATATGGGAAAAAAAAAACAGTTCACATCATTGCCTGTTATCAATAGTTTGACTGTGTAACTGTTTGCCATAACATTACTTAAATTGTTTGGTAAGATAGTTGGGAGGGGATGAGTGTCTCTATCTTATCCTTAGGTTGTTCCAGAGCTGTAGTAATATAATGTGATGAAAGCGGATCCCTTGAAGCTTTTGTGAGTCCGACTCATCTGATATATTGTGTATTCTCAGGTAAGCGCGTGTGTCTTGGGGAACAGCTGGCCAGGATGGAGTTATTCCTATTCTTTACCTCCGTCCTTCAGAGGTTTACCCTCTCGCCACCTGCTGGAGAGCAGCCCACTCTGGAGTCCAGGCTGGGAGGCGTTCACTGTCCCAAACCTTATCGTTTATGTGCCAAACCACGATAAACCACTAACTGTCCCAAACTGAACCAAGTTGGAGTAAAACACAATGTGGAAGTAGGCTACTTTTCTTCCTCTCAATCAGTCAGCCTTTACAATAAACTTTTATGCATTGAATTAAACTACTGTATTCAAATATGCAAAGAAAATCCTAAAAACATTCAGATTTTTTTTTATCACTAGGAGCTATTTTCCCACTGCACATTGTATTTGTCCAACTTTCTAAAACTTGATGTGTGTAAATTAATAAGATTGATGTTTACTTCATGCATCTCATTCAGACCTGTACATGTTCACATGGTGGTTTCAGTCTGTGGTTTGGGAGGTGAGAAAAACAGTCAGTGAGAGAATACCATGCCCCCAGGCTGGGTGCTGTTTATCAGCCTGACAATGTGCCATATCTGTTGTTGTAAAGGAATTTATTTAGTTTGTAGTAAACCGGATAATCAGTTTATGTGATGTTTGAAGTTAGTGTAACAGAAATCGTCAATAAACAATTACACCTGCATTTGAAGGCTTTCACAATGTTTGCTGTCTTAGATAGAAAGAAAGATAGATACTATATACTATAATATATATACTACTATATCTTCATGCATAAAGCACCAACTTCTACTACTTCACATATAAAACCTTTAGCTGTTTTTCTTGACCTGAACCTTTAACTTTTTGTATGAGGGCATAGTAGTTTAGCAAAACCATCAGCTTGAGGTCTCTTTTATCTTTACATGAACATACACACACTCTCACTTCTGGGTTTTCCCTCTAAAGCTTTTGGAGGTAGAAATTGAAAATAACAAGCAAAAGAAAATCACAAGAAGTACAGTAGCCTCACAAGGCCTCAGTCTGTGCAAATCTTTCCACATAACTGCACTTGACAATGAGGGATGATGAATATAAGCAAGAAGCCCAGTGAGAATGAGATATGGGCTGATTTCTTTTAATGTGACATGACCTCTTTCAAGCTAAAAGTGTAAGTTTGTTTTATTAACCTTAAGATAACCACTTATAGGACAAACCATTTATATTTATTATCAGTTGAGAGATATGAGTGTATTATTTCTAATGCTTTTGTTGTGATTTTTGATGAATCAACAGTGTATGTATTGATGGCCTTTGTTTTATCATTCACTGTATCAGCACATGTAGAATTACTGTAAGAAACCCTAAGAAATGTCAGCACCAGTAGAAAAAAGTTACGGTCAGCATCCTTTTTCAGAGCATACGTTGATGTCACACAACATGTTACAGGTTGGGTCGATCACTTCATGATGTGCTAGCAGCAGCGCATTTAATGAGAGCAGCTGACATTTCAAGTCATCTGAACGTTTGTGGTGATGAAAAACAAGACATCTGAAGTAGAACACCAAAGTCTGAATGTTCAAAGTCTTTGCCAAAATACCACCAAACTAGGTCACCGGCCTCTTTTAAAGATGTTTCATTTGCACAACGGAGATGACTTTAGTCAGATGCGTCTCACGAAGCCAGTAATCCTTCGGAAAATGTGACTACAGCTAAAACCTTGTCAGTCGGTGTCTTGATAAGAGAACCCTTATCTAAACGTATCCTCCACAGCACGTGTATCATAGAGGCTGCTATTACCGGAGCCGCTTGTCTTATCAACTACAAATTTGCATTTGAAAAAAATGAGAAGTTCAACATAACACTGCGTCTCCTCCTCATTGTTAGACAGAGCCTTCTCCTGTACGCAGATGGCTGAGGTAAGTTTTGAAGATCACTTTAGTGTAAGTGATTCTTTAGAAAGAAATATTTTGTGATTAATAGTAGGAATAACTTCTGTTACAGGTGCTGACTCGTCCTAAATGGGTTCTTTGAGATTAACAAAGATGAGCTGAGATGAATCTCCCCTCAACAATTTGGGAATGCATACTCATACTTCTCTTCAATTTTTCCATCCAGCGTGAGTATTTATCTGTCTAGCCACATCAAAACTATTTGTCTGTTTCTCTCTGGTGCGCTTCAGTCCCTGATTCAGTCCCTTTATGACAGTTTGGTAACTGTTGGGGTTTTACACCCTGCTTTTAAAGCCCTGACCACAGCGACGAGACGAAAGTGTTCAATAGCATTTTTTGTCTCAAAACTTTCTTGGCATGCCTAATTGCAGAGCAAGTAATAGAGTTAGATAATAAAATTAGGAAGAGAGGAGGTACCTTTTGTCGCAAAATCGCGTCCCTGACAGCATAGATGGGATTTACAGTTTACTGTGCAGCAAGTATTCATATGCACCAGCAAATTTTAATCATACTTTTTTAAAAACTAAAAATAACTTGTCACCCTTGGATAACACTACTTCTATGAAAACTTTCTGTCTTCCTTTTGTGGACAGGTTGCCCGCTGCTCCCTGCTGGCTGCCAGCATTTCAACGAACTTGGCTACCTGACAGTAGAGCCAGCCCCGCTCTTCCTCGTGGGTTCAAACCTGACAGTGTACTGCCACACCACAGAATGTCAACCGAGGTAGGAGTGGTAGAAAATACAAGCCAATATAATTTTCAAATATTCGATATAATATGTTTTCTGTTTGCTTATGTATATAATTCATGCAGATATCTCAACAGTGTTACTCTCTTTAATGTTCTTCCTCTTGAGCAAAAAAAAAAAAGCTAAAGTTTTGTTCAGATGCAGTTATGTGTATGACTTCCAGGTCCACAATATCCCTGGAGCTGAACGGTGAGGCTGTCAAGGCTCAGAAGAAATTCAACTGCACCGTGGTGATGTTTAATCTTCCCAGGGTCTGGGTGCCACAATCTCAAGTGGTCTGCAAGCTGAAGAAGGATCAGTTGTCTTTTATTGTGAATGGACTGGACCTACATGGTGGGCGTATGTACACTTGGCTGATGTACAGTCACATAGAATTAATGCTGTATGGATTACTTACATTACTTGCTAAAAGGAATTTATGCGAAAATACAGAATTACGAACAAACAGAAACTTACATACACATTTAAAATTTAAGTTAACATCTCATTGCTAGGGACCCGATACTGCAGATGGTAAAAAAGAATAGTGGCTTAAGTGTGTTATCATGGTTATTAAAATGTTGTTGGGTGGTAGCTAAGTATCCGGAAAGTTATTGCTAAGGTGTTTAGGACAGTTGCTAGGGCTTTCTAAGTTGTTCCTTGGGTGTTCCAGGTAGCTGCAAATTTGTTTTTAATAATAATCTATAATAATAATAATAATAATAATAAAACAACAACAATAACAACAACAATAATAATAAAAATAATATTGTTTCCAAGTGGTGTGGGTGATTCAGCATTATGGCTTCACTCTACTTTTCTACTATTTCTGGTAGTTCTGTAGTCACAGTGGAGTAGAGACAGAGACAGTGTTGCCAGATTTGACAGAGAAGAAGGTATCTAAAAGTTATTATTTATTATTCTAAGCAATAAAATACAAAAATGAGGCAAGCAATGAGAATTTCTTAACCAAAGTATTTCATTTATTGATGTAATATTTATTGTTAAAGACTGGACAGGAACGGGAAAAGAGTGAGAAGGAAAAATTAAGGGAGTAAAAAGTGAAGTGAGGAGGGTGAAGAATTAAGTGAAAAGAGAATCAGTTATCAGTTAAATCAATAATTGAAGAGTGGCTTAATTTTATCAGTTGGCCATCACTATAGTTAATTTTAGTACAACTATTACAAATACATGAACCTTTTACTGTCGCCCTTTTTTATTTCATAGATAAAAACATCTGATATTTGTATGATATATTAACCATTGAAGTGGAAATTTCCCCATGTTTTTACTGTGTGTGTGACGCTGACATCATCTCTCATCGCGTGTCAAGCACGCTACTCACAACTGGCACCAAAAATAGCATCCAATTATAACAACCAGTACAAATATATGTTCCTGCCCAATTGAATAAAAAATTCTCAACTACACAGAAAAGCTCCCAATCTGGCAACAATGGACAGAGAAATGTGCCTGTATCTCACAGCTGTGTGTCTGTGAGACTAACTGCTGGTTCACATCTGGTTAACACCAGTCACAGCTGGTCAAAACCTTTTCCTCTGAAAGAAGGAAAGGAAGCGTTCAAACGATTGTAGGTCAAACTCTAGCCTTCTCTGACATAGCAGAATAAATAAGTGAACATGTGTTTAACTAAGATCCAGTAAGAAAAGGCTTAAAAAAGCATAAAACTTGATTTGATAGTGGTGAGCTATTTCAAATTTAAATGGTGTTTCTATTTTGAAATTAGTAGAAACTGTAAGACTTCAAAAAGAGTTGATTTGAGCATTTGTGGAACAGCTCCTATTATTCTCTCTGGGGAAATGTGATCAAACACTTTTTGTCAATGAGCAGCATGTTTCGATTTGTCATACAGTGTAAGTATGTGGAACCAAAAAACGCGGGAGGACTAGTGTGCCAAAAGCCACAGGAAAGAGACTGTATTAGTTTGTGTTTCTCAGCCTGCTTACAAAAAATAACAATGGTTTGCTTTTTATTATTTCTCTATTTTTGTTTCCCATCTTTTTCTCTTGAAGTCCCTCCAGATAAGCCTGAAAATATTTTCTGTGAAACAACGAGGTCAGACTTTATAAACTGTTCATGGGAGCGTGGAAAGGAAACGCACCTCTCTACTAACTACAGCATTTCAGTCAACAGGTATGGTGTTATTCTGAGGTCAAACGAAGCTGTTGTTGTTTTCTTTCTGCTTCTTGTTGTCTTCCTACAGTTTAATATATGCTTCTTTTTTTAAACACATTTTCAGAGAAAATGGGACCCAGATACATTCAGCTCAGATCCAGGATGCTGAAGCAATGACAATACCACAAGGAATTTTAGATGAAAACACTAAGTACCAGCTGTTCGTCACTGCTTACAACCACTTTGGAGCATCTCAGTCTGATCCATTTATCGTGCGTGTAAAGGATATTGGTAAGCTCTCACTTCCGTTAAACACATATCTTTATGAATGACCGTACATCTACATAAACACACTTCTTTTAAAGAGAAAATCTTTTCATCAGGCTTATCATGTATTTTCTTAAGAAATGAGTCAGCCTTTGACCTGCTGCATTTAGACATTTGTTCTATCGTCACTTTGTGACTGATTTGGCCTGGCTATCAGCTAAACTCTCTCACTCTGTTTTTGTTATATCTCTTTGAAATGAATTGTTAACCTATTGCATCTGCCCTACATACAGTATGTCGCTGTTTCATGTCACTTCATCAGCCTTGACTTTTTGAGTCATTACTGAATTACTGACTACTGTTTTGGTATATTTGGATATGCTGAAAACTCACTGCACAGTCACTGTCACTTGTGTGCACTAATGCTACTTCTGTGTCCTTTTGTATTGCAGTGATACCGGAGACCCCTCATATTACAAGGATAGAGTTTGGGAACAGCTCCATAGCAGCCGTGTTGCAGTGGAAAACCACTGAATCCTCAGTGCACCTCAAACCGTACATCCGGCTCCGCGCATGTAATGGTTCCTGGGTAAGATGATAGTTTTGTGGCTATCTGCAGCATCAGCTTCTATCAGACAGTGTGTAGGTGATCTAATCTCTCGATGTTTTGTAGGAAGTGAGAGAGGGAGCAGAGCTCAGTGATGGTTTGATAAGAGCAGACGACTTGAGGCCTCTGACTGAATATGAGTTCCAGATGAGAACATGTAACTCAGCATCAGGGCTGACCCATGCCAGCACGCCCAGCTCCATGCCCAGGTCGACCTCCAGCAAAAGGTCACTCTGCAGCAGATGGAGCCCACCTGTGATGGGAAGAAGCCCCGGAAAAGGCAAGCGTGCCACCTTAACTTCAGAATTCTTATCTACCACGTAACAAATGCAGCTGAATGTGATAATGTGCGGGACTGTCGTCAATCATGCAACAACGCACGTCTTGTACTTTAACTTATCTTTAGCTCCATCTCAGCAGTTGCATGTGTGGAGGATGTTCAGCAGCCTCCAGCCAAATGGGCAGCGGATGTTGACTGTCTTGTGGAAGGTAATGTGTGGTAATGATTCATAAGCACTGGCTTTTATGTTGATATTCTGATAGGCAGCACTGTCACCTCACAGCAAGAAGGTTATTGGTTTGAACCTGCCGGCTGCCCTCTCTGTGAGGAGTTTGCATGTTTTCCTCGTACTTGTGTGGGTCTCTTCCGGGTTCCTCCCACAATCCAAAGACATGCAGGTTAGGTTAAGTGTGTATGGTTGTTTCTATATGTTATCCCTGTGATAGACCTGTGACCTGCCCTTGCCAAATGGGATTGGCTCCAGCCCCAACGTGACCCTGCAAGGATAAGCGGCATGGCTAATGAATGAATGAATGAATTTATTCTGATACATTCATTTGGTTATAAAGAGAAACCCTGCACTGCTCTTTGATATAAGGAATAGCTTGACATTTTGGGAAATATGTTTATTCTCCTTCTTGCAAAGAGTTAGGTCAAGAGGTTGCAAAAGGTTGTATTTATGGTAAAAACAACTTTATCTATCACACCTTATTGTTTTTACTTTTTTTGTACAGATTAAATTGACTGTAGAATAACAGTCAAACTATTCCTATAATTACCTTTAATGTTCAGAAAAGTAAACCTGATGTGATGAATGGACTTCCTCCCTAGCCTCCACCTCCAGAGGACCACAGTGGCAAGGTGCAACAATACAAAATCTTTCTGGCTAATGATCAGAAACGAGAAGTGACCTGTCCTGCGACACCCAGCCAGTGCTTGGTTCAGGTATCAGCAGAGGTTCAGGCACTTACCGTCAGTGCTGTCACTTTATATGGGTCATCTCCACCAGCGTATTTGCCACTCACACACTCAGGTACACAATTATTCAAAACTAAAAAAAAGTTCAAAGTTTAAATTCTAAAGAAAGCCCGGTGAAGTGTAATACTTTCTGTTCAGGTGTTTCTGGACCTGTTCTGAGAGAGTTGGCTCCTGCAGCTAGTGGCAGTGCTGTGCTCGTCTCCTGGTTGTGGCCGAGGCCCGAACACCGGGCTGCAACTGGAGGAGAACTGATGCGCTATGTGGTGGAGTGGATAAGTGTTCCCGCGACACAGCTGCAGTGGCAACAGCTGGACAAAAACCAAAACAACATGTCCATCACAGGTACAGAACACCACAGAAACACCATGACCAGGCACAATGACAGCGTAGAACCTGCTCACACAGACAGGGTGAAACAAAACTCGAATCATATTAAAAGCCACTAAATGTTTTATCCACAACATGGCACATGGGCTTCAACTGAGATCAAGGAGTGACCTCTTGTGGGTAATTGGTGAATTACTCCAGTTTGTGCTTTCATCATTTCAATACCTGATGAGGATAAAAAATTAGTATGATAATCTTAATAAAACTGAATCAGAAGCTCATAAGAAAATATTTGAATATTTACAGTTGAAAGTTAAGTTTTCCTGTATTTTTTCAGGTCTGACTGCAGGTGTGAGGTACAATATCTCTGTGTATGCTGTGACCACCAGAGGTGTCAGTGCTCCATCATCCGGCCTGGTCTACTCCAAAGAACAGAGTAAGACACATAGACTCAGCATGTCCCCAAAACCAGTTTACTAGCACACTTTTAAATGTAAAGATGGACATTTTTCAACTACTGAGTTTATCATGTGACGGATTTTTGCATAGGGATTCAAGACAGCACATGATATAAAGCAGACACACGCTCAGTGGAGTCTTCACCCATCGTCCTCTCTCTTTCTCCCTGTTCTTTCAGAACCAAAGTCTGGTCCCAACATGTCCGTGCCAGTCCATGAGGCCAGGCGGATCCTGATCCTGTGGGATGAGCTGCCTGTAGACCAGCAGAGGGGCTTCATCACAAACTACACCCTCTATGTCCAGACGCTGTACTCCAGCAACCCAGCACGGCGTGGTGAGCAGGTGTACTGTGTCCTTTTGTGTTTGTTTGTCTTACACTGTGTGGCACTCTGTGTTAGACATTTCTCACAGTTCATTCTTAAGTTGTATCCCAACAGAGATACAGGCTATTTTGAATCCAAAGTTTTCTATTTCCTTATTCTTAAATTTCTGTGTGCACCATGAACAAAATTCTGTTCACCTCCACTCTGTTGTGGGAGCAGCAGAAACCTCAGAGATTTATATTTTAAAAAATGTAATTTATCCTGTAATAACCACAAAACTATCTGCATGGATACATACCATTTGGATGAGTGAGAAACTAGGCTTTTTTGTAATTTTGGTGAATTTAACCTTTAAATTAAAACTCTTTAGCTGCTTTATATAATCTGTGAATTTTAACATGCCCTTTCACAACTAAATTACCCTTTGATTTGAGCTGAAGGTTTGAAGGAAATACACCTTGGCTTTGAGTCATTTCCTGTTCTTTGTACATCAAGAGCTCTTTAGTGCTCATTTAACCCTATGCTCACGTGTGTGCTTTACTTTGGTCAGGCTATGGCACACCTGTGCCTATGTACTCATGGCGGAAATCATATATGCAGTAGTATGCATAGATTGTGTCTCAGCTCTAACCACTGTTAGATAATGGAAAGTGTGAAACCAGCAATTCATTGATACTCCCCTCCCACAAAGCTTCAGTGCATCAGCAGGGTTTTTCTGCTCTTACTTCCAGTAATGAGGTGAATTTCGAGCGTGCTGGGTAATTGTTTTATTTTTTGTGGTTAATTATTCAATGAAACACACAAACGGAGGGGGGTAGGTTCAATATACAATAAAAACAATACAGCATTCAAAGTTACAGTATTAATTAAGAAAATTCATCATTGTACATTAACATTTGCTAGTTTTGTCTCAGAAAGCCAAATCGATATCTCTACTTATCCTATATCTAAACTGTTTGTTGTCGAACCTGTCTGATTGTCTGTGTGAACATGTACGTGTCAAAGTTAATACATCTGTTCACACACACTGATGTTTCATACACTGGTTGTCAGTGAATCATAGAGTTTTCTAGAACTGACTTTGACCACGAACAGGAAGCCATGTGGCTATATGCACACATGCAACTGTAAAGACTGTTACTAACCAGCCTGTCTCATACACTATTTCTGGAATGTCAGCGTAAAAGCACCTGAGAACTTACCTTTTCCTCTCTCTAATAAGACATGTTATGTGCATACAGGACACCATTGTTACCTCTGCAGAGGAGGTTATGTTTTCACCCATATCTGTTTAATTGTCAGCAGGATCATGCAAAAAGTACTAAACCCATTTGCACTAAAGTTGGTGGAGGGATGGGGCATGGGGCAGGGAAGAACCCATTATATTTTGTAACAGATCCAAATCATTTACTATCAATTTGAATTTTTTACTCTGAAGCCTAGTGTATGTTGTTTTATAATGCCCTTAGTGGAGATCTGCACTCTCTGGCTTAAAGTTATTTCAGTCAGTCTGGTCTAGTGATAGCAACTGTGGCAGTACCACACTGTCAAAACCACATTCTGACATGAAACTAGAATAAATAAAAATGATCCTTTCAACTCAATGTACTGTTGGGCTCTTCTGAAAATGTAAATTCTTTAGCAAACAGCAAGATTAACCGGGGTCATAAATAAGATCTTAGAGCTGAACACTTTCCAGAATCCATATTTGACAAACCAATCTCACCACAAAGAAGCTGTTTATAATCACATCCCAGCAGCTCCCTCAGCAGATCTGCAGGGTCTTTGCAGTGTTTTTGATTTGTTCCTCCAATTTTCATGGATTTGTAGATGTTCAAATTTCAGTCCATAACTGAAAGTTTATTTTTGACTTCAAAAGCAGATGTTGGAATAACAATCTCACCACAAATTCCACCAACAGATTGAGATTGTTTGTGTAATTTCCAAGGTCAAGAACAACTGCATGTGTTAAAGCTTAAAGCAGCTATTCATTTATTAATTATATTAAATTAATTGATCATTTTTTACAATAGCAATATATGAAATGACGACGAAAGAGAAAGAGGTCAGTTGTAGTGATGAACCTACAAACAGTTATGTCATTGCTCTGCAACTCCCCTTGGCTTTACAGAGCTTAATAGCGAATTTCAGTTCATTGTTAGTCTCACGCCAAGCAGCGGACAGACTAGTTAGACTAGCTGGTGAACACAGTGGAGCATTTAGCAGCTAAAGAGCCTGATATTTCCCCCAGGAGCTGGTGGAGACCAAAGTCAGAGCTAAAAGAGAGTGAATCTTGGACTTACATTCCTTAGGTGGTGAGAAACACAACTTGAAATGAATGGTAATGTTGTTCTTTCATGGCTGGATATGTAAATAAGCAAATGTTTCTTAACAAGTTCACCATATAAACTTGATGATCATATGTCAACGTTATATTCATAACTTGTTTCTGCTGCCCTCAAGTGGCCAAAAAAAATCAGTTATTGCAGGTTGAAATAAGTAAAATATCTAGTAATTGTGCTGCTTCAAAGAAATCCTGACTCTCATTTGCTTCGTTCCAGTGACGCTGCCTGGCTCCGGCCCCAGAGAGATGTGGCTGGACTGTCCTGAAGGAGCTCTGGCTCTGCAGCTGACTGCATCCACCTCAGCAGGAGAAGGGCCGTGGGGGATCCAGATCTCCTCTCAGCCTGCAGCTCCTGCAGGTCAGTCTCCTATCGTCCCTATGAAAACACAAACACTAACTTAGTAAGCCCGTGTCTTCAGTGCAACCCTTTCAGCTAAAGGAAGCTTTAAATGAGAAGAAAAGACAACTTTGCTTTCTTACCGCTACGACAACTAGTGTACTCAACTGTTTTGTGCTTCCCTCCTCATCTCTTCTAGTTGGCCTGGTGATTGTGATTGTTTTCATCTTTGCCCTCTTCATAGCGATCATAGCCAACCTGATGTGCTGGAGTTGTGTGAGGAAAAGGTATTAGTATTAAACAATATTGTTTTAATAAATGTTTTATGTTAATAATTGTTTCATGGAAAATAACAGTCATCACACAACAGACATCATCTAATAATAGTGAAAGTATTCTGGTAGGATAACCATAACTGTCTTTTTTTCTCAGGCTCCTGCAAACAGTTTCCAATGTGCATTGGTTTTGTTTTACTAGTAATCAAGATGGATACAGTTGTGGCTGATTTCATGAAATAGCCCACCACACCGCAACATAAGCATATGAAGCAAGAACCCACACAATTAACATGAACAGAAACCTAAACCATGTGGTGGTGTTAGCTGTGGAGATGATGTGATTTATTCATTATAACATTACAAACATATTTGCTTTGTCTCAGTTGCAGAATAAGACTGTGTTGTTTTTTTTCTGTAAATGTACCTTTACTGCACCTGATACTGAACCACCATGATCAAGCTTGAATACTAAAAACCTAACTGTCTTTCCATCTCAGGATTAAACAAAAATGTATATCCTGGGGACCTGCCTGGCTTGTTGAAAACCTACCAAAACCTGGAAATAGTAATGCCATCAGACTGCTGAAGGTAATTATAGTGGAGCTAAAGAGGCCAACTGTTTTGACATTCATACTTCCCTTTTTGTGTGACTTACTGTCACCACATTAATCAAAACAGCAACAGCTAGCATATGCAACAACTGCACCAACACCAGCAATAAGCGCAGAAGAATATACTATCAAAATGTCATAAATAAAATTTTAGAATATAGTATATAGTTCTTGAGGTTTACCGCTCTGTGCAACAATAGGAAGTGATGTCAGTTGTTTCTGCTTTCACTTTGACAGCATCCAGCTACTTTGTTTTGTTGACAACAACTTTGTGATGAGCTGCAAGTGAAAACAAGAGACTTGACAACGCATGTTTGTCCAACACATTGTCTATGTATTAATCACTTTGTGTGAGTCAATCAAGTCTGACTATGCTTTGTTTTTGTGGTTGTTTTTTTGGTCTCCAGCAGGACGACAGTGAACTATCCTTCTCATCCAGCCACAGTGACCCTCCGCTGTGCCCCATTAGTTTGATCTCCTCTGAGGAGAGGGACGACATGTATCCCATCATCCATGTCAAAGTATCCCAGACTGGATCAGGACAACCCATGGCAGAGACACCTTTATTAGCATCAGATACCAGGACAGTGCTTGTTGACAGCCAGCTGGATCATGTCAGCTACAAACCTCAGATTGCTACATTGGCTCCACAAGGAGAGGAGGTGAAGGAGACAGAAGAGGAGCAAAGGGACATACCAGCAAGTGAGAAGGAGGACTTTTGTTCGAGTGCATTTGGTGGATTACTGGGAGGCTTGTTGTCCAGTGTGGAGGTGGATTTCTCTGATTCGCCCCTGGGACCCACTCTCAGCTCTGTTGGTGGCCTTTTGTGGCCTAAAACACCTGAAACAAGTGTCCTGAATAGAGGCTTCTTAGCGGAGAAGAGGGGGACTGACTCTCCCTCTTTGGAGTTAGAACAGAGTGATATAATGACTCCTGACATGGCCGACATTTGTTTGTCTCAGTTTACCATTGAAACAACTCTGATTGGTGGTTACTTCCCTCAGGTAACTGCTGTCAGCAGCACTCCACTCTGCGACACACAGAGGTAGCTGCGATGATGGGAATGACACAAACAGGACAATCTGCACTACTAAACTGACTTTCAAGAGAGCATTACTCAAGCACCACTTCACCTACTGTATACTGTTAAAAACCAAGTTAATAAAGGGCAAAAATGTATAGATCGAGTTTGATTGAAGGACATTCTAATAAATGTGTACCAATTCCTCACTGTAGTTATGTTGGCACCATCTTTTCTAAATGCATACTTAACTAAAGGTTTTATAATAAATAATAATGTTAAATAAATGATTCATCGATGCTTCAGTAATAAGCATTCATAAAGACAACATTGAGTTTGCTGGGTTGTGAAAAAAAAAACCTGTGGCTCATGCACATCTACTTGCAGATGGACTTCCTAAGTCTTTTTAGCCATTTTAGCAGCATGGCTCTATGGATGTCAGTGATGATAGGTCTGACTGGTTGTACAGACATTCATGGTTCCCTGACAATGTACCAAAATGATTCTGGTGATCCCCTGACTTTTCCTCTAGCCCCACCACGAAATTGACCTTTGTGGTTTTAAATAAAATGTGTTGGATGGGTTGCAATGCAATGTGATACAAATGTTCATGTCCCTCCCCAGGATAAATTTGATGTATGGTAATGATAATTACCATATTTAATGATAATTTTGGTGATCCTCTGACTTTCACTTTAGCACCATCATCAGGTCAAAACATGAATTTGTCCAATACTTTGGTTTATGATCAAATACCTGATAATACCTGTGTTTAGTGCAAATGATCAAAGGTTAGCGTGTTAGCATGCTAAACTAATATGGTGAACATAGTAAACATTACATTTGCATGTTAGCATTGTCCCTGTAAGCATGCTGACATGCTGATTTTAGCAATTAAAGTCTTGTGAATAAGCTCTTTAATACATAAAGGAACCTCTCTAATAGAGAGTTCATACACTTCTGAAATACAGCTATAAAGGATCTGGACCAAAATTGCTACATTATTGATGAAAGGATGAAGGCCTACAGTTTTAAATAAAATCTAGTTTCATATAAGGGAAGGTTATAAACCAGTCTAATGGATTTTTATAATGAATAAATTGTTTATTAACCATGTAGAAAGTCATAGTTATAGCTTGTTGATCAACCTAAAGAAGTTAGTACAACCCATTATCATGCACATGCCAAGTCAAAATAATGGTCCTGTATCAACTGCTGAGAGAGTTCCTTGTATTTCAATACAAGGGTGTGACCTCTGTTTGTCTCTAAAGTTAGCCATTCTGTTTTGAGACAGTTGTGTGATGCCAAGTGTGAAATTATTCCAAAACACACCAGTATAAAAGTCAGTTGGTGCTTTCCCTTCCGTAGATCATGACTCTGTGTAAGGTTATAGTAATCTGCACCTGAACCGTAAGTTCTGCTCACACATGCACCACCTGCACTTAAACACCGTTTATCAGGGCTTCCTGAGAGTTGTCTCACTTCCTCCTTCGCAATCAAAATTTCAGGAGGGTCTCTCCCATGTCGACACACTGAGACTGTCACAACATCTCTGGGAGCCTCATTGACAATAATCACCTTGCTAATGTTTTTGTGTAACAGTGCAGTTATTATTTTTATTCTAAATAGGGTAATATTGAGCCTTGCGTTGTTGTACTTGTGCATGTAAAGGTGAACTGTGGTGCAGCTACAGGGGAAAGTCCCCCAATGCACCACATGTGGATACGACTGACAGAGTGAGAGACCTTTTTCTGTGTGGAAAATGTGATGATCAAAGTTAATCTGAGGAGTTGTGTTTGACAGCTGCATTATTTACACATCTGTCTGAAGAGTTACCTCATCATGTTGGATTCAGTCCTCTCATCCTCCTCTAAATGGGATTCAAGAGAGGCCTGAACCTGCATGGGGACTGATTTTAAGAAGCTGCAGTAGACTTCTTACTTAATTAAAAATACAAATACGGCTTAAAAAATTAAAACCCAAGAACTGGAAAATTCTAACCTTCTTTTATATACAGGCTATATATGTATATGTCAGCTGTGCGAGTGAGTGTCTGGCTTCACTGATGAACTGTGACTTCATTTGTGAGTAAAGTGTTTCACAGTACACCAGAGGCGGAGCCTACACGGAGTCTCCGCTGCCACTTTGCCAAAGGCAGGACTTTTCTACATACAGTCTATGAGCAGGACGCACGACTCTTGTCTACATAAAGATGTTCAGGGCGACTTACGATGAGGGATAGAGCTTCATATCACTCACAAGGATTTAATACTGGGATGTGATGTATCGGTGAGTACATTGAGGGTTTATTTTCCCAGTTTTCATCACCATCGTTATTGATTGAACGCAGATGCGGTTTAGTTTGAGCCCGGAGCTCCACATCTGTCCAAGTATCTGTGCTTAGAATCAGTTGTTTCATATAGCCTATACGGGGATACTGTAACACTTGAAGTAAGGAGTATGAAACTGGGACGGTTCATACACTTTTCATCATTATGAGAATCAGTAATAAGCATCTCCAAAATCGCCTTATTTCAAATACATAACTGACCTACTGCATGTGTATACTTGTGCTTATTTTAAGATTAAATTAGCAGCTCCTGCTACAATGTAAGAGTCATATAAGGAGACGGTTACTGATGACTCGTAGCGACAATGTCCCAAACATGGTCCATCCTCACTGCCGTTACATTGCTGGCGGTGCAGCTTTGCATAGGTAAGCTCAGACTACTGTGTGGATACACACTTCTAACACCTCTCTCGGCATGTAAATTACATTTGTATTTTTTGAATGAAAGTTAGATCAAATATTATTGTAAAAATGTGCTTATTAAAAACTTTTTGTATTAGACAAGTGTGCAGGTTCACACTTCCTCATCTGCTCCAAAGCCACCAAATAAACAATTAATAATCTGTTGCATTCAGATAACTAACCCATTGGATATAAGACATGGTGAACATCTGACTTCAGCCTTTATAGCCTAAGTCATTCTTTCTTTCTTTAGGGGAGAAATCCTGCTCCATCTGGTCCAGTGCTGGACCTTTGGTGCAGCGAGACTCCAGTTTTAGGGTTTACTGCACCTTTAACTGCAAGTGCAAGGGATCCATGTTCAGTGACCACCCACCCACACTACAGAACCACAAAGAACTAAATTCTACAACCATATATTTTAATGTGGTGAACATAACAAAGAACAGAACCTACAGCTGTAACTGTGACTGTACCCTGAGACAGTGTAACTGTCCTGCACCGGACCCCTGTGGACTGGATATCAAAGCTGGATGTGAGTATGAAGTACAGAAGGGATAAGGCCTTCTTCTCTGAAACCTTTATCCCACTGCAAAGTTTATTTATGCACAGATTAAACACTTCTCTATTTCAATTGTCCAAGCTTTTAATGGATGAGTTACCATATACCACACCCATCATGTAAGTTCAACATGAGCCAACAGCTTTAACTGTGAAGAGATCATTTAATTTACATAATACGCTCATGTAAAATTCATGTGAATAGATACAGAAATCTTGCAGGATGTTTTCCAGTGCATGGTGTTTCATTTCAAACCTTGACTAACTTTTCAAACTACAGGAGGTGTAAAAAAAAACTGAAAAAAAGTTGGCAGAGCTGCTTCTGCTTTCTTTTCTTTATTTAAAGTACACGCTGTTCACATGTTGAAGGCTGGCCGCAGCTAAGTGTCATACCACAGAGCCATTTCTAATTTGGGAGTAAAAACAGGCTTGTTTTTCGACACATATGATATGTGCAGTCTTGGGACATGTACAAAATATTACCAATACAAACTCTTGTTCCAGGATGACACTAGAAAACCTTAAAAAGATGTAACCTGCTCAACCAGTGTAATTGACGACATTACCAAATTTCTGCATTTTATTCATTAATTTTTCTGACTGTCATCAATAATGACTGATAGTAATACTTACTAATTGGATATTGCTAATATGTTGCAATGTGAAGTCGTTTTCAAGCATTTTACTGCTGCACTTTGACGCATTCAATTCAATTTCTCTTTGTCTGCTTTGTCCTTCAGACCCACCAGATCGCCCTAAAAACATTTCATGCAACTACAGGGTCATAAATGATAAAAGTGGAGTTATGTTCTGCACTTGGAACAGAGGACGGGATACTTATCTCAGAGACAGCTCAGTGCTGAGGTGAGTTTGAAAAAGAAAGGAAACTTGACCGAAATCTGTCTCCAAAAAAAAAAAAATCCCACAGTGCAGTTTCAAACGATCTTATGCTGTCAAATGAAACTTGGCCTTGTGTGTTTCAGGGTGAGAACTGTACCAAGAAATCACACTGATGGACCAGATGTGCACAATGTCTCCAGCAAGGGAACTGATGTATCGTCAGTTAATTTCACTGTGTCCAGATCTGTCCAGCTCATCTCTGTGTGGGTCCAAGCTGAAAATTCACTGGGCTCTGCAGTGTCCTCCACCATCAACTACACTCTCAGAGACATTGGTGAGACCCACATAAATTGCTGAGCTCTGGGGACTTCAGTTTGTGAGCTGCTACTTTCACACATGTAATGACAGTTTCAAGGTGTTTGTAAGGCATGAAATGATAGTGGAACTTCAGACCGGCTTCACAGTGAAGTATGTCTTTCTTTATCAACAGCCACAAAGCTTAACTAAAGTTTATGATTGTTGATAATCTCCGTCCATCATCCTTTCAACTGATGCAATGATGCGTTGGAATCTTATCTTTCTTTTGTTGTAAAGAAAACACCAAAAACTGGCCTTGTGTGCTCATCTTGTGAAAGTTGCTCAAGAGTTTTGTTTTAACCTCTGTGGTGGCTGTGTTGATGTGAGCAGCGATGCCATCGACTCCTGTTCTTGGCCAACCCCAGTGCTCTTCCCGGGAGTGCATCATCGAAGTGAAGCAGTCTGTGATCACTCAACAACTGGAGATCCAGTACAAATCAGCAGAGCAGACATGGACATCTTATCCAGACCAAGTAAGGCCTCTTAACGCTTTAGATTGGTCCAGATCCTGGGAACATTTAGTTGCAATGGATATAGCAGAGGGTTACTTAAAACCTTTGAAGGCATACACTGCATGATTTGACCTCATGAGTCTACTGTTGATTCAAATTAAAAGGTAGATATGAGTGTGAGGCTGATGAAGTGTCAATAAAAAGCTTTAATTTGACCTTTAATCCTCTATCTGATGCCCTTACATGATGATGGTAAATGTCACTTTGGGATGGATGAGTAAGTTTATGTCAATGAAAAAAATAAATGAATAAAAATAAATGTTTTGTTTTTTTTACTCTCAGGGTGTGCAGACCAGTACAGTTCAGAACCGGTCCATCTCGTCTCTCGAGCCCTACAGGTTGTACTATTTCAGAGCCCGATCCAAATTTAGCACCGGCTTGTGGAGTCAGTGGAGTGTAAACGTTTCCTGCTTGACTGAAGAGGAGGGTGAGTAACTGACTACTAACCTGCAGCTCCTGATGAGTGTTCAAAAGAGCCTTACTGTGTGTATTCCTGCACTTTACTGAAAGGAAGCACTACTGCTTCCGTCTGAAGACTAACAGATCTGAATGGAGTATTTACAGTATCTCTGTCGGTCTTAATCTATGTAAGCTATCAATGAATTTGTTTCCTTTCACTTGTGTTTTCTGAGGAAGTTATTAGCTCACGTCTGTTTGTCTGCAGAATATTTATAAGCCACTGAGACATGCCTCAGTGGGTTGTGGTTTGAGAGCAAAACCATTAGTGATAAAACGAAATTTCATACAATGAAAATATTTAATGAAATGTGTTCAGTAAACTGCAGTGGAGTCTCTTGAGTTGACACTGGGCCAGAGTGAAAAAAAGTGAAGTGGTAAAGAAGACAGTAGTGGTTCATGGGAAATATCACAGGATATATGTTATAGCCTACTGATGGTGCGAAGATATATAGAAATGTAAGCTATGAAAGCAGCAGCAGCAGCAGCAGCAGGAGTAGAGGTCAGAGTAAACACAGTTTTTTTTTATTGAAGTATTCAGTAAATGATGTAAAAGATGAATTACACCTGTTTGTCAGTCATCTTCATTTTCTAGGTCAGCATATTCTGTCTGATGGTTGAATTTAAGTCACTAAAGTAAAAGTAAAAATTTCGCATCCACACAGGTGATTAAACAGCTGCTGGTTTCATGACAAGACGGTATGAAAGTCAATGTAGAGATGTGAAACACGATTCAGGAAGCTTATCTGTCACAATAAATAATTTGTTGCCTTTTCTTGTGAAAGCCATAACATCCTCTCATAGAAGTGCAGTTGTGAGTGTGTATTGATTTTACTACTCAACTGTTGTGTTTTGTTGAAATGGACTTTAACCTCCTTCAGACCCCACTTGTGTATGATTAAGAATAACAATTGCAAAACCAATTAATTGTTTCCTTTAAAAACATATTTTCCCCTTTTCTTCTGACATTATTAAAACCAAACTTGTAGTATTAAAGTGAGAATCCGATAACCCCAGAGAGAAAGCGTTGATATCCTGTATTTCAGGGTTGGCTATAAACACTTTTGCATTCACAAACTATGTTAACGGAGCATCACACCCAAAAGACGCATAATCATCTTACATGTACGTCATTACAATATAGTGAAGTGAAATTTGTAGTTTCTTTGCGTAGCTAACACTCAAGTCTCAGTTTCCCAACTGCACTTAAACTCACCAACAGAGAAACATATGACTCTAAAGTAACTTGGATTTAACTTCAAGTAGGCCGATCTGTGTTGTAATTTGAAAAAAATCATGACTTGAATCATGAATCAATCTGAAAACTCACAGTGTGCTTTGGAAAACAGTTGGCATTAATGTAAATATATCCAATGTATGATTACGAAACCCCCAGTGTGGTTGTTTATCCACATTTACATTTGGACCACTTGTCTTATTGTATAGGCAGATTAATGCAGCAGTGCAGAAAATGAAGCTCGAAGCTCTGAACTTCCCACATACTGTACACAAATTACAGGGTGGAGTGACCTTTTCTTCCCCACCATGTTATCACATGTCATACGTACATTGCTGTCGCTGGTGTTGGGTCAGTGTTACAGAAGAGGAAATTCACCCTTGCTTTTTGTAGCAGGTGTTGCACACATGAAAGTAGGAGCCAATTCACAGAAAACACCAGGAGTTACTTAGAAGTAAATGTTTTTTTTTTTTTTCAAGTAACTATTCTTCACAAAAAAAAAACAAAAACAGCAAGAACAACTCTTAATCTTTAAAGGAAGTAATTACAAGGTTTCTTGGAATTGTTACTCATTGCCGCCAGACTTGATTTCACATAGGAAACTTTAACAGTCTTGCAGAGTGGATGTGTGTCACTATAAAAGGATTTCAAAGCATTACGTCATAGACTGATACAAATGATAAGGAATAACTTTGAAACAAAATGTCAGTACTCATGATGCTAATACACTAATTCATTAAAAAACACTCAAATCTAGTCAGTGAAGCCAAACACAAAAAACATTCTTACATATGATTTTAGTTTTATGATGCAGTGACAAATGAATGTTTTATTGTTTTAGCTCCTGCAGAAGAGTTGGATGTGTGGTACACTGAATTTGCATCTGCATCTGACTTTAAATCCCTGACAGTTTACTGGAAGGTAAGTTTTGAATCTTGTTAAAATAAAGTCCTCTTAATTTTTTTTTCTGAGTAACTGCTTTTCATCAGTTTGAATTGCTGAATGATAGTGAGTGACCAAGGGCGTAGGATTACATATGGATGGTAGGAATGTGACCCTACCAATATTTTGGGAGGACAGAATTCTCCGTACCAATATTTAATATTATATAAACTCGTTCACTCATATTAGATCATTCCAATGTGCCCTCCAAGAGGCTACGTCTCCAATACAACCGATTTAGGCATGCTAGCATCTGATTGACTGAAAGGGCTGGGGCCATCTGAAGGCTCACGTCGTGAGAATATCACAGTGGTACGTAATGTCACCAAAAAAATGTCCACTGTTGTTATTAGCCGTCTTCTGTAGGATAGCAGTCAGGTTGCTGTCAGTTGACAGTAGTAAACAGAAAATGGTGGCACTGTGGTTAGAGTTGTTGCCTCACAATAAGTAGGTTATGGATTTGAATCTCAAAGCTGGTGCCTTTCTGTGTGGAGTTTGCATATTCTTCAATTGGCATTGGTATTTTGGCTTCTTGCCGCAGTCCCAAAACATGCCCGTTAGGTTAATTGATGACTCAGTTTTATTTTGTTTGGCCATACTATACTATGACGTTTTATGCATTACTATTCTATGACGTCTTTTGACATTTTATGCCTTATTATGTGAAAATGTTTTTTTGACACTTTTATGCCTTTCTATACGATGACGTTTACATTTTATGCCTTACTATACTAAGAAGTTTTTTTTTTTTTAATTTTGCCTTATTATGCTAGGACGTTTTATGCCTTATTATATGATGACATCTTTTGACATTTTATGCCTTACTATAATATGATGTTTTATGCCTTACTATATTATGACTTCTTTTGACATTTTATGTCTAACCATACTATGATGTTTTTTGACATTTTTATGCCTTATTATAATATGACGTTTTATGCCTTACTACATTATGACATCTTTTGACATTTTGCGCCTTATTATACTATGACGTTTTTTGACATTTTTATGCCTTATTATACTGTGATGTTTTTTGACATTTTATGCATTACTATACTGTAACGTTTTTTTTTGACATTTTATGTCTTACTATATTATGACTTCTTTTGACGTTTTGTACATTACTACACTATGACATTTTGTACCTTTCTGTACTCTGACGTTTTTTATGTCTTACTATATTATGACATCTTTTGACATTTTGTGCCTTATTATACTATGACGTTTTATGCCTTACTATACTATGATGTTTTATGCCTTACTATATATACTATGATGTTTTTTGACATTTTATGCATTACTATATTATGACTTCTTTTGACATTTTATGTCTTACCATACTATGACGTTTTTTGACATTTTTATGCCTCATTATAATATGACGTTTTATGCCTTACTATACTATGACGTTTTATGCCTTACTATACTATGATGTTTTTTGACATTTTATGTCTTACCATACTATGACGTTTTTTGACATTTTTATGCCTTATTATACTATGACGTTTTATGCCTTACTATACTATGATGGTTTTTTGACATTTTATGCCATACCATACTGTGACGTTTTGTAATATTTTTGTGCCTTATTATAATATGACGTTTTATGCCTTACTATATTATGACATCTTTTGACACTTTATGCCATACTATACGTGACGTTTTTTTGACATTTTATGCCTTACTATATTATGACTTCTTTTGACATTTTATACATTACTTCATTATAACGTTTTGTACCTTACTATACTATGAAGTTTTTGATGCCTTACTATATTATGACATCTTTTGACATTTTTATGCCTTATTATAATATGACATTTTATACCTCACTATACTATGATGTTTTATGCCTTACTATACTATGATGTTTTTTGACATTTTATGCGTTACTATATTATGACTTCTTTTGACATTTTATACATTACTTCATTATAACGTTTTGTACCTTACTATACTATGAAGTTTTTGATGCCTTACTATATTATGACATCTTTTGATATTTTTATGCCTTATTATAATATGACATTTTATACCTCACTATACTATGATGTTTTATGCCTTACTATACTATGATGTTTTTTGACATTTTATGCGTTACTATATTATGACTTCTTTTGACATTTTACGTCTTACCATACTATGATGTTTTTTTACATTTTTATGCCTTATTATAATATGACGTTTTATGCCTTACTATACTATGACATTTTATGACATTTTTATGGCATATTATACTATGACGTTTTATGCCTTACTATACTATGACATTTTATGCCTTACTATACTATGACGTTTTTTGACGTTTTATGCCTTCTTATACTATGACGTCTTTTGACATTTAAAGCATTACTATGCTATGACGTTTTATACCTTACTATATTATGACTTCTTTTGACATTTAATGTCTAACCATACTATGATGTTTTTTGACATTTTTATGCCTTACAAAACTATGACATTTTTTGATATTTTTATGCTGTATTATAATATGAAGTTTTATGCCTTACTATACTATGACGTTTTATACCTTACTATACTATGACGTTTTTTTTTCATTTGTTTGCCTTACTATACTATGACGTTTTATACCTTACTATACTATGCCGTTTTTTCACCTTTTTTTGCCTTACTATACCATGTCGTTTTTTTGGCGTTATATGCCTTACTATACTATGATGTTTTTAGGCCTTTCATGCTATACTATGCTATGACAATTTTTTGGCGTTATATGCCTCATTATTCTATGACGTTTTATACCTTACTATACTATGACGTTTTTTGACATTTTTATGCCTTATTATACTATGACATTTTTTCAATTTTTTTGCCCTACTATACTATGTCGTTTTTTTGGCGTTATATGCCTTACTATACTATGACGTTTTTTCAAGTTTTTTTGCCCTACTATACTATGTCGTTTTTTCACATTTTTTTGCCTTACTATACTATGACGTTTTATGCCTTACTATACTATGACATTTTTTGACATTTTGTGCCTTATTATACTATGTCATTTTTTGGCCTTTCATGCCATACTATACTATGTCAATTTTTTGGCGTTATATGCCTTATTATTCTATGACATTTTACATCCTACTATACTATGTCGTTTTTTCACATTTTTTTGCCTTACTATACTATGACGTTTTATGCTTTACTATACTATCACATTTTTTGACATTTTGTGCCTTATTATACTATGACGTTTTTTGACATTTTTATGCCTTATTATAGTATGACATTTTTTATGTCTTACTATATTATGACTTCTTTTGACATTTTGTGCCTTATTATACTATGACATTTTTTGACATTTTGTGCCTTATTATACTATGACGTTTTTTGACATTTTTATGCCTTATTATACTATGACATTTTTTATGTCTTACCACACTATGATGTTTTTTGACATTTTTATGCCTTATTGTACTATGAGGTCTTTTGACATTTTATGTCTGAACATACTATGATGTTTTTTTTAACATTTTTATGTCTTACCACACTATGATGTTTTTTGACATTTTTATGCCTTACTATACTATGACGTTTTTTTTGACATTTTAATGCCTTATTATAATATGATGTTTTTTTGCCTTACTATACTATGTCGTTTTTCAACATTTTTATGCTTTATCATACTATGACGTTTTTTGCCTTACTATACTATAACGTTTTTTGACATTTTTATGCCTTATTATACTATGACATTTTATGCCATACTATACTATGATGTTTTTTCTAAATTTCTTTGCCTTACTATACTATGTCGTTTTTTTGGCGTTATATGCCTTACTATACTATGATGTTTTTAGGCCTTTCATGCTATACTATACTATGTCAATTTTTTGGCGTTATATGCCTCATTATTCTATGACGTTTTATACCTTACTATACTATGACGTTTTTTTTTCGTTTTTTTGCCTTACTATACTATGACATTTTTTTTCATTTTTTTGCCTTACTATACTATGACGTTTTTTCATATTTTTTTGCCTTACTATACTATGTCATTTTTTTGGCGTTATATGCCTTACTATACTATGACGTTTTATACCTAACTATACTATGACATTTTTTTTTAATTTTTTTGCCTTACTATACTATGACATTTTATACCTTACTATACTATGTCGTTTTTTTGGCGTTATATGCCTTACTATACTATGACGTTTTTTCAAGTTATTTTTCCCTACTATACTATGTCGTTTTTTCACATTTTTTTGCCTTACTATACTATGACGTTTTATGCCTTACTATACTATGACATTTTTTGACATTTTGTGCCTTATTATACTATGTCATTTTTTGGCCTTTCATGCCATACTATACTATGTCAATTTTTTGGCGATATATGCCTTATTATTCTATGACGTTTTACACCTTACTATACTATGGCGTTTTTTTTCGTTTTTTTGCCTTTCTATACTATGACATTTTTTTTCATTTTTTTGCCTCAGTATACTATAACGTGTTTTCAATTTTTTTGCCCTACTATACTATGACGTTTTATGCCTTACTATACTATCACATTTTTTGACATTTTGTGCCTTATTATACTATGACGTTTTTTGACATTTTTATGCCTTATTATAGTATGACATTTTTTATGTCTTACTATATTATGACTTCTTTTGACATTTTGTGCTTTATTATACTATGTCATTTTCTGGCGTTTTATGCCTTATTATACCTTATTATACTGTGACGTTTTTTGACATTTCTTTGCTTTAATATATGTATGGTGTTTTTTTTCATTTTTTTGCCTTACTATAATGTCGTTTTTTGGCGTTTTATGCCATACTATACTATGTCATTTTTTTGCGTTATATGCCTTATCATTCTATGACGTTTTACACCTTACTATACTATGAAGTTTTTTTTTATTTTTTTGCCTTATGATGTTTTTTTGAGATTTTATACCTTTCTATACTATGACGTTTTTTGCCTTACTATACCATGTCGTTTTTTCACATTTT